GTAGGTTTTTTCGGGCTATATGGCCATATTCTAGAAGCATTATCTCCTGACCTTTCGCCTGCATCTATGGCAAGCATCCTTAGAAGTTGTGAGGTTTTCCAATTTCTCATGGTTCCTGACAATAGAACCTACATCTCCTATGCACGACTTGGTTTTTGTACTGAATGCTGTGAATTTGGTATTGTAAAAAGATCTGACCTTGCAAAATTCATATGGTTGCAAAAATACACACAGTAGGTTCTGGATAGGGGAAAGTAGTTTGTAATTTCAGTAAATGTGAGTAGAAAAATTGGAGCTATTAAGGACACAATTTTAAATCCAATTACAGACAGTCCCTGAGTTAAAGACATTCGACTTGCAAACAACTCATAGTTAAGAACGGGGGTGAAACAACAAGAAATGAGAGAAATCTATCCCTAAAAAGGGAAATTCAGTTCTGAAAGAGTTATTATCATGGAGAAAAGGTGTCTTCATTGAAGCTTTATCACCAATCCTTGTTTCCACAACAGGCCAAATTTTTCAAAATTCAATTATCACAGGGGCAGAAAGTGAGGTGAAATCTTCTGCCCAAGAGCATGAGCAGAAAAATAAACACCACAGGGGTTTTAACCCTTCCTTACGCTATCCAAAGTGCACTCTCTCTCTCCCTCTTCCTCTCTCTCTCTCTATAGTAAGGTAAAGGTTTTCCCCTGACATGAAGTCCAGTCGTGTCCGACTCTGGGGTGTGGTGCTCATCTCCATTTCTAAGACAAAGACACCTCCAAGGTCATGTGGTCGGCATGACTGCACGGAGCGCCGTTACCTTCCCGCTGGAGGGGTACCTATTGATCTACTCACATTTTCATGTTTTCAAACTGCTAGGTTGGCAGAAGCTGGGGCTGACAGCGGAAGCTCACGTCGCTCCCCGGATTCGAACCTGTGACCTTTCAGTCAACAAGCTCAGCAGCTCAGGGCTTTAACCCACTGTGCCACCGGGGCTCCATATATATGGCTGGGACTACATTTATCTGTCTTGACTTACATACAGATTCAACTTAAGAACAAACCTACAGAACCTGTCTTGTTCGTAACTTGGGGACTGCCTGTATTTTCATTTCAGTAAGATAAATGTAAACTCAAGCCATCTGTATCACCTAAATTAATCTGTTAATTATTCAGCTGCCTATCAGATCTAGTTTTTCGTAGTTGTTTTTATCATCTGTGGTAATGATTTTTACTAATGTGCTCTTTTTTTCCTGGGGAAAAAACTTTTATTCATCTATCTCAATTTTCCTTCTTTAGCTTCTGGCTATAATTAATTATCTATTTATTTTCTTTCAATTTCTATATTATTTTGAGATGACCATTAAGATGGCACAATAAAATACCAACATTGTAGTTATTTTTTTTATAATGAGAAATGTTTCAATGGACAACAATAAGCCATTTTCCTCAAATAACATTAAAATGGGTTAAGTCCAACATTAGTTCTATACCCACTGAAATTTATTAGACCAGCTAGTCACAGTAACATTTGATTGACTGAAGTGAACTGAATTCTGTGTAGGACTTACATTTGATGTGGCCCATTTTAACAAGCATTAAATTTAGAGGTTTAGTTTTGTTTCCATACTTATTAGCCTTTGACTGGTCGAAGGACATTTAATCAACTACCAAGCTTGCAAACTTTGTGTTTTGTCTGTTTGTTTGTTTGGTTAAAAATGTAATACAACTGTCTGGTTGCTCCTGGCACATAAATAAATACAAAAATAAGCCTTTGGCATTCTACTCAAACCTATCATGTTACTCACTGCATCATGAAAGACAATATATCCTTTTGCATATGGAAAGATCTACTTTCTGTTCTTTTAAGTATACCCATGTGAGGCTATACCAGGCATGGGCAAACTTGGGTCCTCCAGGTGTTTTGGACTTCAACTCCCACCATTCCTAACAGCCTCAGGCCCCTTCCTTCCCACTTAAGCGGCGGGGGGTTGGGGGTTGGAAGGGGCCTGAGGTTATTAGGAATGGTGGGAGTTGAAGTCCACAACACTTGGAGGGCCCAAGTTTGCCCATGCCTGGGCTATATACTGTTCATAAAATCTATCATGAGACACATTTCAAAAACCATAAATATAACAAATTTTAATCAAATAACAGCAACGGCAATGAATAGCATTAATGAATCACTCTCAGTCTCAGTCAGAGAATGCTTGAAAAAGAAAACAAAGAGATAGGTATGCATTAAACAACTTCTTCCAAACACCCTGAGAACTGAGTTCCAATAACTTTCTTGGGAGAACAGCCCAGTACCATGAAATCTCACCTCTTGGTGAAGTCATGTTACCTTTATAATACATTGAATAAAATTTTAGTTTCTTTGGAAACAAAATTCAGTTGAGGGGACTGGCTTTTATTTCTAAGGTTGTTTGTTACAAGTGCAATATTTACGTCTTCAGCTTACTGGGTTTGTGAAAATGCAAAGTGGAGGTAAGGTAGTGTCATGGAGCCACACATAAACATACACATTTCTTTCACTAGTGTCCATGCATAGAGTCCATATATCTCTGAGATAAAACCTCCATATACATTTGGGACTATCTCTTCTAAAAGGCTTGAGCTTTATGTCTGACCACTGTGGGAGAAGGTAACGTGATGTGCATGATTCTGTAGTGAACCTATGCAACAGTACTCCACTCTTGGCACATGTGTTCACACATACTGTAAGCTGAATCCCCAGTTAGATCGGTGTGCATCTCTGCCTATTGGATCCATCTCCTGGGGCTTTGTTTTGGATACTATCAGTGTACTGACAATCGTAGTCTTTTTAATTTCACACAGCATCTTTTAATACAGGGTGAGGCAGCATAACTTCCTTTTTTAAAATATGCGCCATTCAGTCGGTTGAAAACGTAGCGGAGTGCTAGTGGTCTTGTTCGAAAGGCGGGAGTATAAAGTTTTGTCCTGACACAGTTCAGTCGCCATCATGCATTGGAACAGTGTTCTGTCGTGCACTGGGCCTGTAACAGCTGTACTTTTCTATAGGACGTATACTTTAAGCCCAGCGGGAAGCTAGGGGGCCTTAAAGAGAGGTTCTCAGGGATTTTTCTGAAGTGATGGTCTTTAGAGTCTTTAGTGATACAACAAAGTCTTTATTATGGAACAAATAACAAATCGTCAATGGTTCAAATGGTTCAAAATAGTCTTCAATGGACTGACACCTGACTTTGATCAACTGAACCTTCTCTGTAGGAAAAACCCCTTTAAACCTCTCCCAGGCTGCTTTCTATCTATGCCTCATCGGTGTGGGCGCTACTACCAATTCCAAATGTGTCTGAGTGTTGAGTAGACGTACTAGCCGAGGCTTGAAGATATTTCAGCTGGAGTTCAGTGGATCTGTAATGCTGTCCTCCCTCCAAGAATTCTTTGAGAACTTCAGGGCTGTTTTCCCTCTGTTGCTGTGAGGCTGAGAGGCTGTGAGCTCTCAGCCAGAGCTTTTGGGACCTTTCCCTTGGAATTTCTGCTTCTGTATCCCCGGATGTTACTTTTCCCTGGATGCTCTTGGAATTTCCTGGACTTCAGTTTCCCTGGACGGTCATTTTCCCCCTGTATAGTTAATTCCCCTGGAAGCTCTGTTTCCCTGGATGGTTCTTTTTCCCTGGAAGCTCTTAAGAAAGGAAGCTTTCCTATGGGATGAGCTGGTCTACATCCTATAGCTTAGCTACCTTGTGTGAGACTGACCAAAAAATGGCTTCTTTCCCTCCCAGAGCCCAGAACGAGGGGTGGAACCAAAGCTTAATTATGATGGACAGGAGCCCTGCCCTATGACTGCAAAACAGATAACAGAAAGAAAATAAAGTTGGAGCTCCTGGTACAGCCATACCAGCACAAACAGCGAGGAGCATGCTTTTGCCGTTGAGGCCTACTTTTCGAGCGGATTTGGATTGGCTGGCCTGCTCTCCAGATTTGGCCCCTTGTGATTTTTTACTATGGGGTTTTTTGAAATCCCGTGTTTATGTGAACTGTCCAAGGACCCTACAAGATTTGAAGACCAACATCCAGGAAGAAATTGCCAACATAACGCCTGCTATGCTGGCAAGAGTCATAACAAACGCCAGATATCGGTTTACTCAGTGTATGGAGAATGGAGAAGGGGGGACGTCACCTACCTAATTTGATCTTCAAAACTACATAAAACAAAACTTTAGGTATGCACCTACATTATAAAATAAACAATAAAAATTTCTGATTCATACAATGGGTTTTATTAAGTTTTGAAAAAAGGAAGTTATGCTGCCTCTCCCTGTACTTTGGTCAGTTATATAAACACAGCATTAATATATCATTATAACATGTTTTGTAAAAGCCCATAACAGAGACCCATGTAGATTAAGAGATCATTGCCAGCATACAGTAACATCCATTCTCCAAACTCCCATCATGATTGATCTACACATTACAATGATAATTTACATTACAGATATCACACTGTACAAGGCAATGACTAAGAAGTGAGGCAAAACACCAGAAGGTCAGCATTTGAAAGTCAATTTACACAATTCCTTTGCAGCAACCACAGTGCTATGGGTTCCCCCAAAGTTATGAATACACTGTGGTACACGGGAGTGGTCTGTAAAGGACAAATTAGATTTCAAAGGATATCACTGAAATTCATGCCAAAATATTTTAAAAATGTGTAGAATCTAAATGCTAAACCTAATGTGAAACCCGATTAGTTGAATTCATGTAATTAATATGTACTTTAAATGCAATTAACATGTTTGTTTTTCAAAGGGACAAACCTTAATACGATAGTAGGCTGCCACATATAGAAGACTATTCCCCGTTTTGTTGAGAATGAAATTAATATTAGCTGGCTAATAAACTATATAATGGGCTTATATGTACTGTATAATAAATTGCATGCAGAGCCAAATATACAAGATGTCCAGTTTAATTGCACAATACCCACAAATACCAATGGAGGAAGGCTGAGAAACAATGGTAATGGCTGCACTTACTGCGACACATCTGACACAGCAGGCAGAGCTGCCTCTTCAGAGATGAGATCCATGTCTTCTGTGAAACTGTTGGCCCTGGACATTTCATTGCTGTTCCCTTCCAAACGTTTTTTTACTAAACAAAGAATGTGAAGAGGCAATACTTTAGAAAGATAGACCAAGTAAACTGAATCAGAAGACTGAAATTGGCATGCAAGTGTGCCTGGTCCATACTAGCTTTGCTTACACTTTACTACGGTTATATGTTGACCTAAAATGCCCCAAGTCTACCCAACAAAGGGAGACTATTGCCTCTATGCCCTTGATTTTTTAAGAGAAATCATAAAGAATTCAGGGGAGCAATGGGGCTGAAGGAAAGCTCTCTATTCTGTAGAAAACATTTGCTCAGAAGAGCGTCTTGGTTACATCCAAACTGGACTATTGCAATGCGCTCTACGTGGGACTGCCCTTGAAGACAGCCCAGAAGTTTGAACTGGTACAACGGGTGGCAGCCAGACTCCTTACTGGAGCAAACTATAGGGAGCATACAACACCCCTATTAAAAAAGCTTCATTGGCTGCTGATAAGTTGCCGAGCTAAATTCAAGGTGCAGGTCATGACCTATAAAACCCTAAACAGTTCAGGCCCCGCCTATCTCCGCAATCGCGTCTCCTTTTATGAACCGGCACAAACTCTAAGATTTTCTGGGGAGGCCCTCCTCTCGGTCCCACTACCGTCTCAAGCGCAGTTGGTGGAGACGAGAGAGAGAGGACCTACTCAGTGGTGGCCATCCACCTCTGGAATGCCCTTCCAAGGGAAATAAGACAGGCCCCATCCCTCCACTCCTTTCATAAGAGCTTAAAGACCTGGTGGTGTCAACAAGCCTTTGAAAATGACCAGTTCTAACTCAGCCCTACACATTGTCGAATACAGCCTTATTCTTCCTACCAATTACCCAGATAATTTCCTCTAATCGGCCCCGGAATGAACAGCCACAGACCCATACCTAATATTATTGTTGCCTGCCATAGCATTGCACTTAATTCCCGGGCCCCCTAGAATTTTTCGGCTTGCACAAATCTTGGCCCGGCCTCTTAAATTTTTAAATTGCCTTGAACAAGCAGGAATACTTTTAATTTATGTGTGTTATGGCGACAATTTTTATGCTTATATTTTGTTTTGTTAATTTTATGGTTATTTTGTTTTTACTTTGTATGTTTTGTGATGTTATCTGGAAACCACTTTGAGTCCCCTCGGGGAGATGGAGCAGTATATAAATAAAGATTATTATTATTATTATTATTATTATTATTATTATTATTATTATTAATACAGGCAGTCCCCAAGTAATGAACAAGTGTAACTCCAGCTCTATCTATCTATCTATCTATCTATCTATCTATCTATCTATCTATCTATCCATCCACCCACCCACCCACCCACCCACCCATCCATCCATGTGTGCACACGCATGCGATTTAGATAACATAAGAAGGGGATAACACCCTTGTGGTGCTTGTTTTTCTACAAGATTTGAAGACCAACATCCAGGAAGAAATTGCCAATATAACGCCTGCTATGCTGGCAAGAGTCATGGCAAACGCCAGAAATCGGTTTACTCAGTGTATGGATAATGTAGAATGGGGGACGTCACCTACCTAATTTGATCTTCAAAACTACGTAAAACAAAACTTTAGGTATGCATCTACGTTATAAAAAAATAAAAATTTCTGATTCATACAATGAGTTTTATTAAGTTTTGAAAAAAGGAAGTTATTCTCCGTCACCCTGTACTTATTTCATATACCTATATACCTGGGGTCGTATAAACATTTTTCAGGTAGAAAGAGGTTGCAAGTGGAAAACGTTTAAGGCATCCTGACCTCGACCAAGTGACTGTCCTTTGATTTCAATGCAACTTCTAAGTGCCTATATTGCCCAGTGAAAGCAAGCAGGGCTTTCATGTGCTTAACATTAGCTACATGTGTTGTCGAAGGCTTTCGTAGCTGGAATCACTTGGCTGCTATGAGTTTTTCGGGCCATGTGGCCTTGTTCCAGAAGCATTCTCTCCTGATGTTTCATCTACATCTTTGGCTGGCATCTTCAGAGATTGTTTTGGTAGTGAAGCAAGTGAAGTGAACATATATCTGTGGAATGTGCAGGGTGAGAGAAAGAATCTTTGTCTGTTTAAAGCAAGTGTGAATGTTGCAGTTAACAAGCTTGAATAACATTGAGTAGCTGTGAAGCTGCAAAGCCAATCAGTGAGGGTATCTGCATAGAGCCTGGGCTTTGTTGCCTGGAGGCATCCTCTGTTTGGGAGGTGTTAACTGGCACTTGATTGTTTGCTGTCTGGAGTTCTCCTGTTCCTGACTGGTGTACATTATTTACTGTTTTGATCCTGAAGCACTGTGGCTGTCCAGCAGTGACAACGGCAACAGAAAAGGTAAGGTGATAGTCCAGCAGGCCCATATCAGTTTTGGCCTGGCTGTATCATTTAGATTCTATTCTGAAGTTGCTGCAGGTTGGGCATGGAGTGCGTGGCTACCTCCAGAGCCAGTTTGGAATATTGCTGCTCCGGACTTGTGTATTAAGTAGCCTCCTGTTTAAGGAGCTCTACTGGCTGCCGTTCATTTTCCGGTCCCAATTCAAGGTGCATGTTATTACCTACAAAGCCCTGAACGGTTTGGGACCCGCCTACCTGCGTGACCGCATTTCTGTGTACGAACCCACACGATCTCTTCAATCATCTCGAGAGGCCCTGCTCACGCTCCCACCTCCTTCGCAGGCGCGATTGGTGGGGAAGAGGGAGAGGGCCTGCTCGGCGGTGGCCCCCCGACTCTGGAACTCACTCCCCAAGGACATCAGACATGCCCCAACTCTGGCAGTCTTTAGGAGGAGCCTGAAAACGTGGTTGTTCCAGTGTGCCTTCCCAGAATAAGGAAAACCCTCAGCAATATGCCCTCAATATGCACTTTACCATTGATTTAGGACTGATTGAATTCCTTCATCTCTCTTTGAAAATTCTACCCCAGTTATATCCTACCTTGTTCATGTACAGAATTATTTTTAATAATTAATTTTAATCTATTACACCATTGGTTTTAAATGCTTGTGTGTTGCTGTTGATTTATTGTTTATTTTTTGTTATGTGATTTGTATTAATTGTATTGCTTTGATTGTTTGTTATTGCTTTTGTTTACTGATGTACTGTGGGCTTGGTCTTATGTAAGCCGCACCGAGTCCCTTGGGGAGATGGTAGCGGGATACAAATAAAGTATTGTTGTTGTTGTTGTTGTTGTTGTTGTTGTTGTTGTAGATAACCCACTGAATCCATACAGCTGAGAATGCAAGGCCTTTGAGATACTGCCCCTTGAATTCTTTCCACTGGGCTTGACTCTGAATCAGGAAAGTATCTCAAATATTTAGCAAGTTAAGTATGTATTTCAATCAGCCTCTCCTAAACGTACTACCTGCACATGCATTAGGAAAGCAATAAAAGTCACACTTAGCCAAAGCAACTAAAACGTAAAGAACTAAAAACCCGGATCAAGCCAAGATTGTAAAAAATAAGTTGTACAGATACTGAGACTGAAAGTTAACACTGATACACAAAATATATCAGAGAATGTAGATTTCCTTGTACCTGGTGAAGCAGGTGAAGCAGGACAGGTTGCAGCACAGATAGATAGAGATGACCAAGAAAGCTGTCGGCCTTCATGAAAGCAGAAGGGGCCAGAAGAAAGCAGAAGGAAAGCAAATAATACAATGAGTTAGAGCCAAAAGACAAAATGGTGTGCATGCTTCTGAGAAGGTCAAAACCATCTCAGACTCTTCAGTTGCACAAATAAAATACTGTATGTAAAATCATAGAATGGAATTTTTAAATGGAAATGTGAATTTGAATGTAATATTATTCACTCATGCAATAAATACCAATCTATTTTAAATTCTTACTTTGTCAAAGTGCCACCACCAAATATCTAATACAGTGTTTCTCAAACTCTGCTCCTCTGGGTGTTTGGGACTTCCGCTCGAACAATTCCAAACAGACGGTAAGCTGGTTGGGATTTCTGGGAGCTGAAGTCCAAAACAGTTGGAGGATCAGAGTTTGAGAAACAATGATGAAATGTCTAGAAAGGTGGTTTTCAACCTGTGGTCTCCAGATGTTTTGGCCTTCAACTCCCAGAAATCCTAACAGCTAGTAAAGTGGCTGGGATTTCTGGGAGTTGTAGACCAAAACAACTGGGGACCCACAGGTTGAGAACCACTGGTTTAGAAGATAACAAAAACATGACATATGTTTGACATCCACATTTACAAAGGATGAATACGAGAAATTTTCAAATTCTGATTTCTCAAAACTAAATTAATTTCGTATGAGTTAATGTTATGTCACTTATTGTGTACACATTTTACAAAAACACACATAGTCATCTCCCATTCAACTGAATGTACTACAAAGTGCTGAATTACATAGCCCAACCAAAACATTTTTTCTTGGTGTCTTGGTTTTTAGGCCTGTTCCTAGGGTTAGTTATGGCATTGATTCAGAAAATTGCACTGGATACAGATTGCATCAGCTTTAATTTCTTAGATATGATTATAATAGTTTCCTATCGGCAAACAGATGGCAACTGGGAGATGGCATACATTCTGTACCTCAAAAACTAGAAGTGATAGAGGAAAACTGGTGATTTTTTAGAATCGAAAGATTAAATATACTGCATTTTCTGGCATATAAGATTACTTTTTAACCCAGGAAAATCTTTTCAAAAATCAGGGGTTGTCTTATACGCTGGGTGTCGTCTTATAGGGAGGGTGCTGAAACTTCTGAGCCATACTGGAGAATCTGTGGTTGCCACATATGGTGGGGGGAACTAAAAAATGGCTGTGGCTACATCCCTGCCGTATACGGCAACCATATGAAAGCAGCAAGGGTGGTGCTGTACAAGTACAGTAGAAGAAAATCAATTCACCAGAATTCATGGAAAGAAGTGACTTCACACGGGCCCTATGATGAGGTGAGGGGACACCTCACCAGGAAGGTGTAAGTGAAGGGCAGAGGAAGCTGCAGGTGTCCGGGGCGCCCGGGGTGTCCTTGGACGATGATGTAAACTGGCAACTGTTGGCTGTTTGATTGTTTTTTTATACTGTTTTATACTCTTTTATAATGATTTACTGCTATATTGTTATTTAAATTATATATTTATGTTTTGGTTATGGGCACCATAACCAAACAATTTAAATAACACCATACAATTTAAATAACAATATAGTGGAAATCTCTGCCCCGGAGTGTGGTGGAGGCCCCTTCTTTGGAAGCTTTTAAACAGAGGCTGGATGGCCATCTGTCAGGGGTGCTTTGAATGCAATATTCCTGCTTCTTGGCAGGGGGTTGGACTGGATGGCCCATGAGGTCTCTTCCAACTCTTTGATTCTATGATTCTATGAACATGGGGTGCCGGTCGGTTAGCTGCCCTGAGTCCCTCTGCGGAGGTCGAGATGGGATAGAGTACAAATTACCGAAATAAATAAATAATAAAAGAGACAGAGTGGCGCTGTGCCTAGAAAAACATGCCTCTTTCACCCATCTGGCCCACCCCTGTATCCTATTACTGTACCTCCTTCTCTGCCTCTCAGATCTTTCTCCTGAGGACTGCAGTGAAGCAGTGCAGGCGTGCATGTGCGAGATCTGAGAGGCAGAGAAGGAGGTACAGTAATAGGAACATTACCATATTGAAATCAAATCTAACGTTTTTAAATTTTTATTTGGTGTGTATTGGAAGAAGGGTAGTCTTATACGGCGTGTATATCCCAAACTCTATATTTTAACTGGAAAAGTTGGGGGTCATCTTATACGTGTAGTCATCTTATACGTCGAAAAATAGGGTACTTAGAAAGAAGTCTAACATTTGAGGTACCAAAATGTGTATCAGCCAGTGTTAACAACAAATGGTCCTGTTCCAATGATTTCTGAACACTATGGCATTATGTGCTTTAAATCATTTCTGAAGGCAAAAGTAAGGCATATCTATCCCAGGATTTTCTTGATGACATGTGTTCAGAGAGGGTTTTGCCTTGGTCTTCTGGGGCTAAGCATGTGTAACAGAGTAGGAATCTTTCCATGCCACTGAATGGAATTAGCTAGCCCTTTTCACACATGAGTCAAGGGACAACATGAGGGGTGGGTGACAGAAGAATGAAGGTTATTCTCTGTAGCCATATTCTAAAACTATACACTGGAAGAACTCCAGTGTGGGAACGAACTCCAGCATGGGAAATTGGCTGCTATCATGTAGGCTCCTCTACTTGACCACAGAACACAGGAACAGCCAACTTTCTAACATCTTCACCAAGCATAAATAACTCATAAAATCTAGTAAGACAGTAGAAAAAGTCTATATGAATAGACCATTATCTAGTGCTCTTGCGCAAAATAATCACGGGATCATAAAGGCATTGAAGCCATCGCAGATAAGTCTAGTGAATATTGTAATTTTATTTTGGATTTTCTTAAGGTCAGGACAGTTAAGATTGCCAGGCCACAATACTTTCAGGACCTAAACTTGAGACCTTGAGCATAATGATATTATAGCGGGCTCTTGTAATTCCATCAAGGATTATATATTAAGCATCAACTGCAAAAGATGTAATTCAAATTAAAAAGCCCAAGGACTAACAAATGAGTGGAAAAATCTGATTATAAACACATTTTTCATATGTATATACAGGAGAAAAAGTGCACATTTTCCCAGCTCTCCCTGGAACACTTTTACAATCACTGCTTTAAAAACATTAGAGTAGCTAACTTTTCAAGAATGTATTTTAATATATCCTCAAACTGATAATAACCATAATCATAATGCCACTATCTATTGATAATCACTATATATTTGTAGGAAGGAGAGATAAAAATTATGATTGTGATAAATGAATTAACAGGGCAGCAGAAACCAATAGTGGAATTCTATCTATGCATGTCTACTTCAAACCAAACCTTATGGGTTTTAAGTAGACTTAACTTTAAAATACGGAGACAGTAGCATTTCAAGGTTTTCTGGTGATGGAGGCAAAGAAAAAGGTGAAGATACAGAAGAGAGGAGGATTAAGATGAGTATAGGTAGAAGCGGTAGTAAACGGAAAAAGAAAGCAGATGATGAAGATGATGATAATAGTGATGATGACGATGGTGATGATGATGACAATGATGACAGAAACAAAATGTAGCATGGTGAACTGAAGAAAGGAGAAAAGGAGGAGACAGAGGGTCAAGGGAAGGAGAGAAAACATTCATTGCCAACCAGAATATGTGTTGGAGTTCAGCCTGTGATTGTGTTTCAGGATCAGGGTGCTTTGGATGTGGGAAATGATGTTAATGAGGTTGAAGATGAGTTTCAAGATGGCAATGGTTTGGTCAGTGATATTGATGCAGGGAATGACCAGGAGATCCCTGTAGTTTCCCATGAGAATATCCCTGTGGGGATGTGGGGATGATGATGAAAATAGCTCGGCACCTACAGAAATTAATGAGCAAGTAGATAACGAACCGAGAGATAGATGAGAAGAGTTCAATCATAAGAGGAGAGCTGTGCAAAGGCTTAGGCTTCAACAGAAAACAATTCAAAGCCTCAACTAAAGAGAAACCAATTTCTGACTGCTAGTGACCTAGCTAACGAGGGGACAAAAGTCTCAAGTTTGGGATGTGTAGTCAGATGAAGTATTGTTTAGAATCACGCCAAGTTCGTCCTTGTTTTATAGAAACCTTACTTTGAAGTTTCATGCTAAGATACTTCTTGTTCATGGTTTTGGATTCATGGATTTCATGATTGCTTACCCAAGCCTTGGATCAATGTATTCCTGATTTTCTGGATTGTATTGGAGATGTGTGGACTTTGCTTTTATGAACGCTGGAGTAATTTCCCTCCGCTTATCTTCTTACCTAACTGGATTTACCTATTTCCTTAACGTGCTTTTTTACTTTGCTGCTTTTTACTTATCTTCAATAAAATGATTGTTTTTTTCCTATTCACTGTGTGGTGTTTAAAGTCAGAGGATTATTCCTGTTCTGGAGTACAACAATATGTGTAATGGAGAAAGAGAGATAGATAGAGAAGACAACATTTAATCAAAAGTTGTAGGCAGGAGAGGGCAGGAAGTGTAAGAAAAAAAGACTGAAGTGAATGGTGGAGAAGATATTTAAGCTAATGGTTTGGGATAGAAAGAAAGCAAACAACAAAGAATGGTATTAGAAAGAGAAAATGAAAAAAAGGAGGAAGTTGCAGGAGTAGAAGAAAGACAAGGAGTGAAGGAGAGAGTGAAAGAGGGAGGGAGGAAGTGAAGGAGGGAGAGAGAAGACTGATGTTAGGAGTAGGAAGGGAAAGAAGAGAAGAAACAGAGAGGAGTGAAATTAGAATTAAAAAAAGGATTCAAGTGCCTAAGTAGAACTGAAGAAAACATTTGTATGTTGCCCTTTAGTACAAATGTTACAACTGACATATGGCTCAGACCAAGAAAGCAAATTGTATGGTGGCTTCAGTCATTCAGGGTGCGATAAGGAAACAGAAAAATTAACAAAAAGATAGGGAAAGTCACCAAGCACCAATTCTACAGTATTATAGCCTGCTAAATAAATAGTGAGACAACACAATAGTGAGGAACACAATATTTTCCCATGATGATTGCTCCCTCTAATGGAGAGGAAAAGAAACTTTAAGAAGGAGAAGAAAATGTGGGGGAGAAGTAGAGAATCTGTATCAGCTGCATTAAAGACTCCAGTAGCAGCAGAACAAGGAGCACCTTTGCTATCAAGGTAGTACAAGCATCCTTCCATATCCACAATTTCCGCATCCATGGATTCAACCAACTATAGCTCAGAAATATTTGGATAAAAATCCAAACAGGAAGCTGTGATTTTACTGCGTGACAAGGACTATGCTGACATGTAGGCATACCTGCTGTAGCCTTTCATCATTTCACAGATCCTCGGGTTCTCTCTAATACTTGTTTGAGCTGTTTGACATTTTATATACAGTTTGCCATTTTCTTCATCATTGTATACAGTATAATGAGACTTGGGCATTTTTAGATTTTGGTGTCCACCGAGGGTCCTGGAATCTTACCCAAGTGGATATCAAGGACCTCCTGTACTCGTTATCACAGTAGAGCTGAAAGAGTAGGCAGAGTATTTACCCTCTGAAATCCTGTGTGTGCTTCTGCAGAATTCTGGGACTTGTAGTTTAGTGAGACCCAGGATTTCACTGGCAGATCCCCTAAACTACAAGCCCCACAATTCTGCAGGAGGCAGCCATAGTATTTCAGAAGGGATGCATACTCTTTGCAGGGGTGGCTCAACCCATTACGCAAAGTAAGCATTTGCAGTATAGTTGATTTTGCCCAGGGGCGCTCTTGAGGCGCTCTTGGGGGGAAATAGACCTTGACATATGCGAGTTGTAGTTACTGGGATGTATAGTTCACCTACAATCAAAGAGCATTCTGAACTCCACCAATGATGGAATTGAACCAAATATGGCACACAGAACTCCCACGACGAACAGAAAATATATATGAATGATTGGTTTGGGGGGGGGGGGAGGCGCCAAAATGCTGTTTGCTTACCGTTGAAAATTTCCTAGGGCCGCCTCTGACTCTTTGTCTACTCTTTCAGTTCTAGAGTGATACGGGCCAATCTAGAAAGAAGGGTGTAGCTGGCCTTGAGACCTCGAAACCTAAATATGGCACCGACTAAACCTTGGAGCTTGCCTCAGATTTAACAAGAAAATGATTAAATAAAATGAAGTCATGATAAGCCATGTGACAGCTAATTATATCCAGTCTAAGAAAAGTCTATACAAATGTATTCATTGAAACTAACCCTCATGAAGTTTGTATAACAAAACCATGTATTCCAAAATGACCTGGATCCTTCTTCATCTTTAGTCTCTGCATTTTCACTAGTGCATGTTTTTATTTTCAGAGCTTAGGGCTTACATTGACTCATTACTAAAATTCTGCAGCTTTTAGAAAACTTCAGCAAAATTTACTAGGAACCACATCTCTTCCTATCAGCCCACATGAGCCCTGAGATCATCAGGAGAGGCCCCACTCTCAGTCCCACCTCTGTCATAAGTATGGTTGGTGGGAACGGGAGAGAAGGCCTTTTCAGTGGTGGCCTCGTGGCTCTAGGACACCCTCCTCAAAGAGGTGTGTTTGGCCCTGTGCTGTCACGCATTGGGCCTGTGAAAGAGTCTGTAGACAGGATGTGTTTTCTTAGTGCCCAACGGGACGCCGGGGGTGCCTCAGCTAAGAGGCCTTTTGGATTTCCCCATACAAAGTTCTTTTAAAGACTTAGAAAGTTCAACAAAGTTCTTGATTGTTGCTTAAATCTTCAATAAATCAAACAAATACTTCAAGGCTTTGAATCAACTGGTGGCTTGCTTAAATCTTGTCCACAAGGGACAGGCAACTTTCTTCATAAACTGTTTCTTCCTCCTACAAGGGAAATCCTTGACTCCTCCCTGGGCAATCTGGCTTAAGCTCTGCTGGTGTGGGCCCCTACACCCGGTCCAAATTGCTTTATGGCTGCTGCGGGTGGTCCTTACCAAACAGAGTCCTTTAGTAGATTTCCAAGAGGAAAGAAGGCTTTCAATTCCCAGCGAGGAGCTGGCTGTACAGTTGTGGAACTAAATTCCCCAACAAAGGCTATGCTGTAGTTATCTGTAGAGCTGTGGGACTGGATCCCCCCAGGAAAGCTGTAAAAGACGAAGCTTTCTACAGGTGGAACTGATTCACGTCCTGTACAAAAGGCTTCTCTGTGTGAACTGAACTAGATGTCCCCTTTTCCCCTCCTTAACCCAGAAAAAGGGGCGGAACTAAAGAACATAATGATAATTGATGGGTCATTGGCCCTATTATTGCAAACCAAGGGAATCCACCTTATTGCAAAATGCATGGAACTTTGGAATACATGCAAACACTCAATAGAAAGGAAAAGAAGTTGGAGCTCCTGGTACAGCCGTACCAGCACAGGCCCCCTTGTTATTGGCCTTTCGCTCCCAGGTGAAAACCTTTTTATGGAAGCAGGCCTTCCTCGACAACACACAATAGCAGCTCATCTTGGTCAGACAAGGATCACATGGCCAAAGACTTGGCGCTTTGAGATGTTTAGTTTAATGCTTTAATATTTTAGGACAACCTGAATTGCCTGAGGCATAGGGATATTTATGATCATGATATATGTGGTCATTTTAAGGCTTATTTATATTTATGTAATTTGTGTTTTATGTAATATATTGATTTATTGTTTACATGTCAGGTTGGGGGGGGGGATTATGGTTATCTGTATTGCGTTGTTTTGTTTTTTCTACTTTGTTCATCGCTTTGAGTCCCATCCGTGGGAGAAAAGTGGGATAAACGTAAATAATAATAATAATAATAATAATAATAATAATAATAATATGCTTGAAATACATTATCCCATTAAGATAACCTAGAAAGACAAGGAATGGATCCTTATCTTGATATGCAGACTAAGGACTTCATCTCATTTACCGCTGGAATTGCCTTGCATAATGGTGAATCCAGCGTTGCTCCACATGGGGAACCTATCACCACCATCATCCGGCTTTCCTCTTACCTCACCCCACGGGGGAAGTTTTTGCTGCCTGGCTTCTCCCTGTTGATCACTATGCAACATGGGGAGCCTCCCGTGTTGCCACCTTAGCAGCATATGACAGTTTCCTTTCCCTTTTACGATAGAGCCCCGCTGGAAGTAGCTGTGGATCATGGAATGGGAACTGGTGGGCTCTGTGGCAAAAGAGAAGGGGAACCAGCATGCACCGCCAAATTCAGACCCGTCTGATGAGGTTGTAGGAAGAACTTCTCTAGCTTTGGCATGTTTGCAAGAAACAGTAGAAGGCAACTGTTGGTCATTGACATCTCAATTAGCTGTCATATCCACAATGTTCAGTACAATTAAACAATAGTCGGGACTGTGGTGTAGCTGGCTGGGTGTCAGCTGCATTAAGATCACTACTGACCGAAAGGTCATGAGTTCGAAGCCAGTCCGGGTCAGAGTGAGCTTCTGGCCAATTTGTGTAACTTGTCGACCTTTGCAACCCGAAAGACAGTTACATCTGTCAAGTAGGAAATTTAGGTACCACCTATGTGTGGTGAGGTTAATTTAACAAATTTACGAGGCCATAAAAAAATCCCCAGCAAAAGCATGCAGGGAATGCGGAAAGTACTTCATCAGTGTCGCAGATGGACGGTGAAGTGACAGCTCCCCTGGTGGCCAGAAAATTGGAATGTTAAATAGCCTCGGACTGTCTGTCTATATGTGTTGTGTGTCTATAGCATTGAATGTTTGCCATGTATGTGTATATTGTAATCCACCCTGAGTCCCCTGTGGGGTGAGAAACATGGAATATATATACTATAAATAAATAAATAAATAAATAGCCAAGAAAAGTTAAAATATTTCCTTTTCTTGTTTGTCCTAAAACAGCAAAATCCCTTTTAGGACAAACAAGAGTCTCACTTTTACTATAGGTTACTGTAAGATTCGCTTTCTTAAACAGTGTCACACTAAGTAGCCAATAACATTAAAATTGGCATAACGAAATCGCAGTATGAGTTTCATATCCCTGGCTAATTTCAACAAAGTAATGAATTAGATATAGAAAATTCTAAAATATTGATGGCAAATAGTATATAAAACTTATTAAAACAATTCACAGCTATAATTCTGAAACAATGTGTAAGATGAGGAAATGCACAGCATTATTAACATTATAGATCTTTTATCACCAATAATTACTTTGCTTCTACAAAACATACTATCATCCCCCCTCCCAACCTACCTGTTTGCTTGAACATCCTTGTAAGACCTAGTGGAGAAGAAGGGTGGAATGTATTCAGACGTAATTAGTTTAACTAAGTTTGGCATAAAGAGCTATGTCTAAATCCATGTTAGGCCCTTTCCACATTGTGGAAGGCAGTGTGGACTCAAATAACCCACACTGCGTTCTGCTGGCTTGATATTCTGGATTATATGGCTGTGTGGAACAGCCCTCTGATGGTGTAAAGAGAAGTCCACATGGAAAGTTTTTGTACTGCTTCAACGGTGGCAAAGGTTCTGGTTTGTTGAATAACTTACACAGAAACTTTAAAATGTTTTCCAGACAATGTCCAGTATTACAGTTACTAGAGAAACACAGGCAATTGTGTACCTAGTAAAGGTAATAGTAGTGGTAGTATTTTTATTATTGTTTTATTTCAAACACTTGTATCCCATCCTTCTCAACCCCCGGCCGGGGGGAGGGGGGGAGACACAGATGGGACGAGATGGGACTCAGGGTGGCTTACAACCAGCAACAATTCAATGCCAACACATACAAACAAAAACAATATAATACAAATTAAACATTAGTTAAAAACATTAAATTATAAAATATCCAATTAGAACATTATTAACAACAATATAGCCACATCCAAGTCCAATTCAGCGTCCAGAGTCCCAGTCCAAAGCCTATCCATAATCAATTCTCCTGAATCATTACGATTACTGTTAAGCCAGCTACCTGAATGCCTGGTCCATGATTTGAGTAAAACTGAGGCAGAAAAAGTCTTGAACAGTTCTGCTTTTTCTCTGTCCCCTGTTAGCATTTTGCCATCACCTGTAAGCAGTGGCCCTACCATTTTCTTGTTCTTCTTTTTGCTACAGCATAAGCATTTTAGTAACTTCTCTAAAAAACTTATTCAGCTTTTTGGCTTTTCTAACTTTATCCCTTTCACCTTTGGTATGTTTGATTCTGAGCTTCAGCCAGTGTCATCTACTACATTAGTCAAGGTCATTTCAGTGGAATTAACTCTACAAAACTCGAACTGAGATGGGCCAAGAAGATCACATGTAGTCAAACAAGGTATCAATTAGGCAAAGGCAGTTATATCAATTTTGAGGGAAATGGAATAATAGGCAAGTGGTGGTAATTAGCATAAACAGAAGAATCCAGAGAAGGTATTTTTAATGGAGGACGCAATGCAGCATGCATAAAGCAACCTGGGAAAATATCAATTAAAAAGAACAGTTCACCAGTGAAGTATATAAGGCAGAAACAGAGGCAAAAGGACTACATAAGGATAGTAAGGGAAGTTGTCAGTAGAAGAAGACAACATGATCAGGGTTGCTGTGAGTTTTCTGGGCTGTATGGCCATGTTTCAGAAGAGAATGCTTCTGGAACATGGCCATACAGCCCAGAAAACTCTCAGCAACCCAGTGATTCTGTCCATGAAAGCCTTCGACAACACATTGAACATAATCTGATTCATAACTGACTCTATAACAAGGGGAAAATTAAACTCTGATTGTGGCTATAAAGAAATATCCTGGGACAATGGCTATGGAGCTGGAAATCCATTCAATATAGACTAAGAGTTATTCAATACAGACTAAGAGTTATTTGGCCACAACATTTAGGACTGAGTTGGATGTTGTTTTTAATTGTGATGAATTGTTTTTATATGTATTTTATATGTATTTTAGAATTTATTTATTGTATGTTGTTTTATGACATTATTTATTGTATATCACTGAATTTTGCTGTAAGCCATTCTGAGGGACCACCAAACGCAGCATTGCCCAAACACGAATCAAGGAACATGAAAGGCACTGCAGACTCCTTCAACCAGAGAAGTCAGCCACAGCAGAGCACCTGATGAACCAACCTGGACACAGCATATTATTTGAGAACACAGAAATGCTGGACCACTCTAACAACCACCATATCAGACTACACAGAGAAGCCACTGAAATCCATAAGCATGTGGACAATTTCAACAGAAAGGAGGAAACCATGAAAATGAACAAAATCTGGCTATCAGTATTAAAAAAAACCTCTAAAATTACAACGGAAAGGAAACATCTAATGACCTCTCAACAAAAGACTGCCCCAGGCTCTGCCAGGCCATCAAATGCTAATCAAGGTGGTCAGTTGAAACATTCACACCTAGCTCCAACAGACAAGAGTCCTTTGTCCCACCTTGGTCATTCCACAGATATATAAACACTTTTTCCAACAGACCTCACTACCTCTGAGGATGCTTGCCATAGATGCAGATGAAATGTCAGGAGAGAATGCCTCTAGACCATGGCCATATAGCCCGAAAAAACCTACAACACAGTGATTCCAGACATGAAAGCCTTCGACAATACATTCTGAGTTCCTCCACGGAGGTAGAGAAGAACGGGATACAAAAGCTCTAAATAAATAAACAAACAAACAAATAAATTCACCAAAAATAAAATAACAATTGGTGTCACCTGCTGATCAAAGAAAGAGGTCAAGTCACTTGTAGAATTCCTAAAACAAAGGGCCCTCAACAGAGTCACTGGACTCAATGAAGTGTTAAATTGTGGGAAATAATTGATGAGGCATATGGAAGCAATTGAACTTGAATCTTCTAATGCAAAAAGAATCACTGCCTTTCTAATAGTATGTAACCGATGAAGAATAATTCATTCTAAACACAGCTTACATACAGCCAAGGTTTTGTTTGCACTGTTTAATTGAGTTCTTGATGGTGCCACAACGTCTTATAATGCATAGCTGATTAACTTGGACATCTTGATTGAACTCACAAATATATAAATATGAATGTTTGAGCTGAAAAGCTGAAGAAACAGGCTCCACGACTAAGGAAAAGACTATTAAAATGGAGAACCACAATGCATGATAAAATGGTGAACTGGCACTCGAAATGAGGAAAAGTCAACAGTTTGAATAACCTGCTTGGACAAATGGCCCTTAACACTAACTAATTTGTCCAAGCATGTTATTCAAACTGTGAAAAATATTGGCAACTTATAAGTGACATTCCTGGATGCGAGAGACCTCCCATGATTGCACAAAAAAGAACACAGAACATCAGAGACATGCTCGTGCATTCTGACATAGATTATCTTTCTCGAACCACTAAAGTCAAACACAACTTAGTAGGAAATTTTGCTTGCCATCACTGTCCGATATGTCCACAATTCATTCAAAGACATTTCAGAATCCTGTCACTAAAGCCTCTTACTGGTTACAACATTTTGCCACCTGTATGACTAAAGGTGTGGTCTATATCATTTTTTGCCCATGCTCTCTTATGTATATTGGCCAAACAAGCAGACAAGTTAAACAACAGATCATCAAACACAAGAGCAAAATTAGAAATCATTCTGCTGATTCTATTTTTTATAAACATTTTGCTGATTTAAATCACAATGCAGAATCAATCCGGGTGCTAGTTTTAGAGGTTGTCACACCTCCCTCTAATTTGGATTTGGGTACTAAATTACTACAGCATGAAGCCTTTTGGATTTTCACCCTTAAAACTGTACATCCCAATGGCCTGAATGACACAATTTCATTCCAATGTTTCATGTAAATTATAGTGTATAGCTCTTTAACAGTTTCATGACTTGTTTCACCTGGGTTGGGCCCTTTTAATTGCTTTACTTTATAAACTTGTGTCTATCTGTTGGCCATGTGCTTGCTACAGAAACATACTTTTGCAGAGCATGGCCCTTGAGAACCTGTTGTAAGTACCTAGGCCTTTTTTGTTGCGTATAGCTTACATGTTATCATAATATGCAAATGTTTATCCCTTGTGGGACATGTTCTAGCCACTTGTGTATATTCCCTGTAGATCCACTGTCTCACTGTATAAAACATCAGAGGAAGCATTGTTATTGTGATAAACTTGATGTCCACTTCATTACTCTCTACAATTCTCCACCTGAGGAAGACTTTAGTCAAAACCGGTACAAGAAACTCAAAACGTACTCAAGAGTAACTTTCTCTAAAGTAAGGGATTTTATGCCCTCAAGAGAAGTGTGGGTATCTTATTACAAGAAACTGAAAACCTCACTCAAGACTATCCTTCTCTAGAGTAAGGAACTTCATGCCCTATAGAGAAGTTAGCTTTACACCAAGAAAGACTCTTTTTGCTATGGTTGTATAATCACTGTGTAGCCCCCAGTGGCGCAGTGTGCCGGCCCTGTGCCGGCAGGATTGAAGACCGACAGGTCGCCTGTTCGAATCCGGGGAGTGGTGGATGAGCTCCCTCTATCAGCTCCAGCTCCTCATGCGAGGACATGAGAGAAGCCTTCCACAAGGATGATAAAAACATCAAATCATCCGGCGTCCCCTGGGCAACATCCTTGCAGATGGCCAATTCTCTCACAACAGGAGTGACTCCTGACACGACAAAAAAAAAATCACTGTGTAAACCACAGTTTGTAATTCATTATATACTGCTGTATGCCACACTATATAAATTTGTTATTTGTTCAATATTGCATTATTGAACAAATAACAAATTTATATAGTGTGGCATACAGCAGTATATAATGAATTACAAACTGTGGTTTACACAGTGATTATTTCCTGTGCTGGTCAATGACCAAAATAAATGATTTGATTTGATGATTTGAATATTGCATTATATTGGCTGAAAGAATATTTTTACCTTTGTGTTTTGTGTACCACAACTTGTAGTGGATTTGTGCTTTTTATGCTGCTATGCTCTAACAGCGATGCTCTTTGCTATGGTAAAATAGCTATTTACTCAGGGTTTATGTTTTGCTCTCTCATTTGAATGAAGATGAAGAAGCCTTATTCTGTGATACTTACAAGGACTATGTAAGTTTATTGCACTGTTTGATTTTGTATGAAGCACTGCAAGTTTATGTTTTGCCTCTGCTAATAAGAGTAAAGGTTTTCTGTTCCTTTTTCCTCTTGTCTGTGTGTCTTTTGCATGGGACTTGGCTAAAACATGCTCTGCACAACATATCTAACAGTCTGATCCCAGAGTATCTGGCAGTGTAGACTCATATAATCCAGTTCAAAGCAGATAATCGGGGATCAAATCCTGGGACATAGGAAGTGTAGATCCAGATTATCAAAGCAGATAATACACCTTATATGCTTTGAACTTGATTATATGAGTCTGTACTGCCATATAATCCAGTTCAAAGAAGATTATCTGGATTTCATATGGCAGTGTAGATGGGGCCTGAGAGTTCCTCTACACCATGCAGCTCCAGTTCCTGTGCTTGCTCTTCCAGCGGGCCAAAAAGGGATTGTTTGCTAATGTCTAAAAAAGAGCTTGGCTAATGTCGCTTCCATTTGGCACCTTGGAATGAATGTGAATTTTTCTATCTCATAAGTTGTGATTTTTTTCTAGCTCAATTTTGTCATCACTACCTTAATTGGCTACAATGTACTCTGCTTCACCCACTCCTTTGACAGGTAAGTCATCAATCTTATTATCAACTGTCCCTTTGACTGTAAAAGCTCTCACAAACTTTTCTGCATCACTCTTTTTATCTTTACAAGCATTCTTCCTTGGCTGCTGATGTGCAGGCTTAGTATCACTATATCTGGTTTACAAAGCACTGAAAGAGGTCCAGTCTACACTGTTTTATAAAATCTAGACAATCTGCTTTGAACTGGATTATAAAGCAGTGTAGACGCATATAATCCAGTTCAAAGCAGATTATCTGGATTCTGTATGATAGTGTGGATGGGGCTAAAGCCATATTTGAGGTGAAACTGCTTCCCAAAACATCTTTGTCAAGTGTCAGAAACTAACCATTAAAACTAGTGGGGTGAACATCTAGCTTATATAGCCCGTGTGTCTACATCAGTTTTTATAGCCCGTGTCTACATTAGTTTTTAAAATGCAGATTTTCCTGGGGGGCTGTCCACACTCACCCCAGAAAGCTCGAGCTTTCTGGGGTGAGTGTCCAGATGTTCTCCTGGGACTAGCCTGAGAGACCATCTGGAGGCCCTCCTCGCTCCCCCAAAGCCCCCAGATCCCTTAGAAAAGTAATGAAAATTTACCTGGCCTCCATTACAGACTTCGACCAGCAGTCCCTCCCACTCTCCTGGCACATCATTCCTATGCGCCGGGAGAGCTGGCCGAAGCCTCTAATAGAGGCTGGGTAAGTTTTCATTACTCTTCTTAGGGGTCTGGGTGCCTTGGGGGAGGGTTTGGGTATTCCCACAGTTTAGCAGGCTTATTTAGCCCAGTAAACTGTTTGAATGGTGTCTGGACTGTAGTCCAGACACCAGAAATAGTGGTTTATCCTACGCCTTCCAAGAATGCATGGAATAAATCCACTATATAATTAATTTGTTATATAGCAGGGTTTTCTGGTTTGCAGTGAATTAATTCGGGACTATACAGAACACTATCTGGTCAGCTCCTCCTTTATTACGGTAGATACCGCAATAAAGATACTGTCTGGAGGGGCCCTGAATTATATGGCAGAGTAGATCCAGCCCCAGGTGCATCTAAAGCCCCTTCCACACTTCCATATAAAATCCAAATTATCTGCTTTGAACTAGAGTATATACATTGCGGTATAATCCAGTTCAAAACAGATAATTTGAATTTTAAATGGCAGTGTAGATCCAGTCTAAGCCTTTTGAAGAGCATTTGCAAGCAACAGCAATGGTAGGATTTATATGCCTTGGGGGATTTCTTGGCAAAGAAAGAGTTTAAAAGCAAAGACCAAAAGAGACAAAGGCTGGATCTACAGTGACATATGAAATCCAGATTATTTGCTTTGAATAAGATTATATGGCAATATAAACTCATCTAATCCAGTTCAAAGAAAATAATGCGGGCTATCTGTTTTGATAATCTGGGTTATATGGCAGTGCAGATCCAGCCAAAGTGGGTTGCAGATGAGTTATCATGTGTGTTGCAGATGAGTTATCATGTATGCTACAGAATAAGAAAACACTAGTTCTGCTTATAGTAAAATTGGTGAGCAGTTTATGGAAATCCAACTTCCTACTTCATATCTGAAGTCTAAGGGGAAACCCAGACCAAAATATATGAATGGAAAGAAGTACCTCACTTCTGTTTTCATATCTGACTTCTCTCTGGCTTTCAGGATGCAAATATTTGACTATTTCGTTACTGCATGTTTTGTGACTGGTCAATCCAAGGCAAGCTGACTATTTCTGAGGCCACTTATATAGCCCGTGTGTCTCAAACTAAGACCTGGGGGCCAGATGTGGCCTTCCAAGGTCATTTACCCAGCCCTTGCTCAGGGTCAACCGAAGTCTGAAATGACTTGAAAGCACACAACAACAACAACCTATCTCATCAGCCAAAAGCAGGCCCACACTTCCCATTGAAATACTAATAAATTTATATTTGTTTAAATTGTTCTTCATTTTAGTTATTGTATTGTTTTTAAGTGTTTTTGAACTACAAATATGATATGTGCAGTGTGCATAGGAATTCATTCATGTTTTTTTCAAATTATAATCTGGCCCTCCAACAGTTTGAGGGACTGTAACCTGGTCCTCTATTTAAAAAGTTTGAGGTCTTCTGGCTTAGACTATAACTGCAGATGTCAGACTATAACAGCAGTCATTCTCAATTAGTCTGTTTTGTTAGACCAGGGGTCCTCAAACTAAGGCCTGGGGGTCAGATAAGGCCCTTCAAGGTCATTTCCCCAGTCCTCGCTCAGGGTCAACATAAGCCTGAAATTACTTGAAAGCACACAACAACAACAACAACAACAACAACCCTATCTCATCAGTCAAAATAATAATAATAATAATAATAATAATAATAATAATAATAATAATAAAACTTTATTTGTACCCCACTACCATCTCCCGAGGGACTCGGTGCGGCTTACATGAGGCTGAGCCCACAACACAACAATAAACAATAACAGCAATAATACAAAAACAATACATAAACTCATAAGCAAAATAAGCAAAAAAAAAAAACACAAACCAATAACAATAGCACGATGCATTAAAAAACCTATGGCTGGGCCAAATGTAATAATTAAAATTTAAAAAAATAATGCTGGGCATAAACAGGTAACGTAATTGGGATAGAGGTTTTGGAGAGGGAAGAAATGTGCAGACAATCTAAAGTCATTATTAAAGTGAGTTTAAGGACATCTTGCAGGGAGTTTCCTTATTCTGGGAAGGCCCACACTTCCCATTGAAATACTAATAAGTTTATATTTGTTAAAATTGTTCTTCATTTTAATTATTGTATTGTTTTTAAGTGTTTCTTGCACTACAAATAAGGTATGTGCAGTGTGCATAGGAATTCATTCATGTTTTTCCCCAATTATAATCTGGCCCCCCAACAGTTTAAGGGACTGTGACCTGGCCCTCTGTTTAAAAAGTTTGAGGACCCCTGGTCTACATACACATTCCGATCTAGTTGTCACCAAGGTCATAAACCTAAAGCATGTCTCTGTAGATTGAAAAACACATAGTGAAAGTTCCTCAACAGAAAAAAAAACACCTTTCCACCAATATAAACACTATGTGTAAAGGAGAAAACTGAACTAAAATCTTTTTTTTCTGGCAATCAGATTTATATGATGTTAGCTCTCAACTGACTTCTTACTGGCAAAACCTCAATAAGAATAAAGCTAATGACTGTAAAAGGAATACGTGACTGAGAAACAGTTACCTCCAGGTTCATCAAGATAAAAGCTCAGCTCTTTCTTGTCTTCTCGATCATCAATGTGTTCATAAGTAATTTGTGGGATGGACAAAGCTGTCTCTCCGGTATTCATTATAGGTGTAGAACCATTATCACGCCCTGGCTTTCCCTTTCTCTTGTATCTTCTGCTGCTCTGTAATAAAGAGTAAGGACCACTTTTCCATATAAAAAAATCATAACAAGATGTTACATTGAATGCCTAAAATAAGAATTTTGCAAATGGTATTAAAGGCAACATGTACAGTACTTATTTCTTCCCTGGAAACTCATTACAGACTGGCCTATGCGCTGGCACTTCTCTATGGAGCACATTTTTGAGTAGCAATCCTATAGAAGTTACTTGTTACACAATTTTAGAAATAATGGAGGGAGGAATAATATATTAAACCCCACTCTTGAATAGTTTATCGCTGTTCTAAAAGAAACCATTTCATAACCCATTTTTTTTCTAGAAAAACAAGGCTTTGGAAAGACACTGGGAAAAAAGTAAATTATTATTTATTTTTCCCCAAAGCTTTATATCTTTTATTTCATTTAATGTAAAAAGTCTCAGGCTGGATCTACACTGCCCTATATCCCAGTATCTGATCCCAGATTATCTGCTTTAAACTGGATTATATAGTCTACACTGTCAGATAATCTGGGTTAAACAGATGATCTGGGATCAGATCCTGGGCTTTATATATTTCATTATATCCCCCAAGGCTTTATATCTTTCATTTCATTTAATGTAAAAAAAGGCTCAAGCTGGATCTACACTGCCCTATATCCCAAGATCTGATTCCAGATTATCTGCTTAAACTGGATTATATGAGTCTACACTGCCAGATAATTTGGGATAAACAGATATAGGGCAGTGTAGATCCAGTCTCATATTTAGGTGGGATATCTCTTTCTAAATTCTACTCTTCTCTCTCTTTTCTGTGGAATTATTTCTTTAAATCAAGAGAAGGAAACCTTCCAAAGTTTACTACACTGAAAATTTCAGAAGTCCTATCCATCATAGCCAATGCTGAGGAATCATGCAAATTGGAAAACAGACTTCTATCTCTGTCTTGATAGAATATGTGGGTTGTTTCCTTTCTTTCCCCAGTCTAATTATTCTGCTTTCCCTCTTTCTGGCCCCTTCTATACTGCCATATAATCCAGTTCAAGGCAGATAATCTGAATTTTAAATGGCAGTGTAGAAGTGGCCTGTGGCTGGATCTACACTGCCCTATAGGCAGAAACCATGCGACTTGACATCTCCAATGTAAAGGTGGGATATAAATGCAAGAAAAGAATATGCACCGGTTTTCGAAGAAGTGGGCTAGATGATGATGCTGTTTTCTTTGTGTTTTGAGCTGTGATATAGATTTTCCATGTAGCTGTGGAACTGTATGATTTCTCTGCAGCATAACATCTCCACAAAGTCTGTAAAAGATTAAAAAAAGATTTTTGTTAATATTATAAAAGGTGAAATAAAATTCCAAACTTCTTCAACCTAAGCACCTAATATTGTTTCACCCCTGTAATTCTAAAGGGAAGGTAAGGGAAAAGCCCCTCTGAACAAATCTTGTAACAACCCCCCCCCCCCCCCCCATGATAGGTTAGCCTTAGGATCACCAAAACAGAGAAATTATTCAGAAGCACACGTGATGAATGGATTGAATGAAATTGAATGATGGGGCCTGGCTAAGGGCCTATTAGGACTGGCAAGACTGAAGACACCATCCTGTTATTCTAACCTTGGAAAATTGCATTATGGGGGAGGTGAAGACTCGATTAACTTTAGTATGAAGAGTGTTGATGAAGAAAAACGGCTGAACTGACATAACTGACCTGAGAACTTTTGGTGTAAACAACACGTTAGTCAGACACAATGACTCTTTAAGGAAGTCAGACACAATGATCTCTTATGTCAAGGAAGAAAAACACATCAATTCCAGAATTGATGGAGCTTCAGCAAGTCTTGGCTCAATGACAAGTTGTCAAAATAATCCAAAAAGATAACAGCAAAAAGTTCTACATAAGAAGACCCTTTTCTCTTTGAAAGGTGTGTCAGATCTGCAAGGAATGCAAAGCCTGAACACTCACCTCCTTCCAAGATAGACTGAATGAGGAAGGATGGTGAGTATTGATGGAGAGTTATGTATGTGGAGTGAATGTTAGAATATATGTTACGTTCCCCTTTGTCTGTATAACAAATATAGCTATTATAAAACTAAGTACTGGAGTCTCTGTGTGTACTTGTGTACTTTTTTCACTGAAAGTGCCCAATATCTTGTCCCACTGAAAACAGATTAAAGAAAAAAAAAGGTTCAAAAAGTATTCATGATACACACAACATATTGTCATTTTAGTAAATTCAAAGAATATCTACCATAAACCTTGAGGCAGGGGCAAAAAGATTCCCTGCAAATATTATGCTTCTTTTAACTTCTACATATTGAATAAACACAACGAAATTAATTGTGCCTGTGCTGGTACAGCTGTACCAGGAGCTCCAACTTTATTTTCTTTCTGTTATCTGTTTTGAAGTCATAGGGCAGGGCTCCTGTGCATCATAATTAAGCTTTGGTTCCGCCCCCTGTTCTGGGCTCTGGGAGGAAAAGGAGCCATTTTTTGGTCAGTCTCACACAAGGTAGCTAAGCTATAGGACGTAGACCAGCTCGTCCCGTAGAAAAGCTTCCTTTCTTAAGAGCATCCGGGGAAAAATAATTTCCAGGGAAAAAGGATCATTGGAGGAGGCCCTGCTCTCAATCCTGCCTGCTTCACAAGCACATCTGGCAGGGACGAGAGACAGGGCTTTCTCTGTGGTGGCCCCTCGGCTGTGGAACTCTCTGCCTAGGGATATTAGATCAGCCCCCTCTCTCCTGACCTTTAAAAAAAACCCTGAAAATTTGGCTCTTCAAGCAAGCTTTTGGAGCCTCAGCATAATCAGACAAACTTGAATCAGAAAATGACCTAGGAATGGCTAAGACAACAGAACGGACGAGAACTGAACATGACAACATAGTTTAAATTTTTTTATTGTTCACTGTTTTTATGCTTTTAGATACATTGTGATGTGATGTTTTTTTCTATTTTTATTGATGTATGTATTTTATATATGGCATTGAACTGTGCCGACTGTTCGCCGCCCTGAGTCGCCTTTGGGCTGATATTGGCGGGGTAGAAATAGCGTGAATTACAATAGTAATAATACCTTACCTGGAAAGTGAGGTGCTAAACACCTATTTGTGGCATCTAGAGTCTTAGCCTATTTAATTTCGACCCGTTATTACTCCCAAGTTGTGCAGGCCTGCCATAGAACAACATTTTGAGAGAGATTTAGCCACCAGGAGGCATAATACTGCTGTGAGCTGACGAAAGCTCTGCTGCTTCCTCAAATTCACTGGGATGGTTTCCTACGCATGTGATGAGATTTGAGCTCAATCCTACTAAATCCCTAGTTAACACCATCACAGCTGGAGCAGCTTATTGCTCTGTGTAATTTCCTTTCCCCTCCTGGAATTGTGAAATATTAACAAACACCCTTTTACCTGAATTAGAGATGCTGCTGCAGGTATTTGCCTGTTGAAATGTTTTTGACGTTGTTTCTGCTGTACTTTAAGTGCAAAGCCAGAACCCAGGATCCCCTAAAAGGCAGCAAGAAGTCATTTCAAAAACAAAATAAAACCCACTTCATTGTTCGTTTGCGAAAAGACAAAGTCTGAGGAATTGAATTTTCAATTAACCATCTCTCATTCTCAATTTCTCTCTTTCTCATCCCTCCCTCCTTCCCTCCCTCTCTCCCAATATACAGCCTATGTCATATAAACTGTAAACACCACAGTTTCCTTCCAATTAGGCATATACATCATCCAGATTTTTCAAGAAATAAGTAATGTTAAAAAATACACTGAAAAAATATATTTCACTTACTGCTGGAAGAGCAAAGAAAGATATTGCAAACACAGAGAAACAGGATGCTATCGTTTTGCCAATCCACGTCTGTGGCACCTTGTCACCATACCCAATAGTTGTGACTGTCACCTATGCAATACATAAGAAAGAATTCACAAAAAAGACTTCTGAAGGCTGCTTCACATTTTAGGATAGATTTAAAATTCAGTTGTTACACATTTCAATCATTTCGGGCTCCATGCTCAAGATAAATAATAATAATAATAATAATAATAATAATAATTATTATTATTATTATTATTTATACCCCTCTCCATCTCCCCCAGGGGGACTCGGTGCGGCTTACATGAGGCCACACCCATCAATATAATACATACATTATAAAACAAAAGACTAAACCTAAGAATCTTTAAGCTATTTCTCATTAAACATTTTCAAACTATCAAATAACTGCTTCCAAATATTTCACTAATAGAAAGCGAAACTTGTAGGACTGGATACAAAGCGAGAAAAGCACTTACCACACCCCACCAAAGGGCATCAGCATAGCTGGAGAACCCTGTTTGTCCGTCCTCATCTACTGCATCCTTCTCCGCAAGGTATACAAAATACGATGAGAAGATCAGTCCCAAAAATCCAATATACAATGTAGTTATTAGTTCCTAACAGAAAAAAATGAATTGTTTATTGGAAGTTTGCATTCCTTGCAAATATTTCAAAAACTTAAATGAAGATCGAAATGCTTGTTTTCTAAAACTAAGCATATATGTCTAATATTTTTAATGAACAGAGATTGATCAGGTCATTATGCTGATCTGCTTCATTGCCATTCGTAATGAAACATATTTTAACCTTAATAACAATAGCATATTAACACACTGATTGGCAATGGAAACATTAAGAAATGGGTGGACTGGATGTAGAACCCATGGAGTGCATCAAGCCTGAAAATAGGGCACTCCCTATTCCTGCTTAATCCAAATTCAGAGTCATCCTATCCGATCGCCAACCTTGATATCATAATAAGAATTCTACAACTTTAAAAACAGCTTTTGACACATATTCCGTTCCTTTTTTATATACAATACCTGACGATGTATGAATACAACAGATCCTAAGAGTCTCCAGGTCCCACCTTGTCGGTCTACATGAAGCATGCGAAGTATCTGGAGAAACCGGATTCCCCTTCAAAAAGGAATTTTGAAAACATTATAGAGTTGAGTGAGCCCATTCAGTGCAGAAGACCCATATTTATATAATAATAATAATAATAATAATAATAATAATAATAATAATAATAATAATCGTCATCATTATCATCATCTTTATTTATACCCTGCCACATCTCCCCAATGGGGACTCGGAGTAGCGTACATGAGGCCAAGCCCGAACAACAAATTACAATGCAATGATATACAAATTGAAATAAAATAAACAACACAACATTAAAGTATAAAACATATAAGCATATAAAAAATAAACACAAAACATAAAAAAAAACACAGTAAACCAAACATAATGACAATATTTGACATTTCTGTGTTCTTATTCTGGTTACTTCACTGAAACTGGAGACCACTGTAGTCCTGTTCGCTAAATACAGTAACTAGCACATAGGTCAGAGACTGATAAAAGGAAACTTGCAGGACAGATCCTGCACCGCATATTAATGTTCTCTGGTTCCTGAAAATACTACAGTATTGTAATAAAAAAGATATAGTGTTTTGGCCAGAGTTTATTTATTTACTCTATTTGTATCCCGCCTTTCTCTACTCCGAAGGGGATGCAAGGTGGCTTTATATATGGCAGCGCTTTTGGACAACAAACGGTTAGAATACACTTAAGTTAAAAATTAAAATTAAAATTAAATCATATTAAAATATGCAAAACATTGCATTTAAAATCACACAATCCTCAATCATAATCCAGGGCCGTCCCACAGATCAATTGCACATATTCTACTTCTAAAAATAATAAATATGTTTCCTTTTGACTTAAATGTTTCATACCTCTTTTGTATTAACAACGTATTTTCTTCCTCTGCTTTTTCTTCATTTCATTTTCCTTCCTCTGGTGATTCTTTGTCTTTATTTTTAGATTGTGAAATTAACTAAGGTAGGGAATTATCAATCTTACCCTTTCTAGAATGCTATGTATATACATAATGTTGCAGAATTAATTATATATTATTGCTACAACTAATAAACACTTTATGCAAATATAAATATGGTTGTGCATAATTTAAATTAGCTCATAAGTTCCACTACTAGCAGATTTCGAGATTTTGAAATTTAGAGCAAGAATAAACTGTACGACATACCTTATTGCAGATGTAGCAAACACTTGTCCATTTGATCCTACACTTAGAACAATAACTGAAGCTATGACAACAATGAGATCTGTTGGCAGATATTGGAGAGTATTAATATAGCTGTATATCATCCAAAGGAAAAAGCAAACATTTCTAGAAAGCACAGATTTTGATGCTTCAGCTTACTATTGTTAAAAACACTATAAGCAAAAGCTGATTGCGATATATTGTACTATAAGACATTTATGCAGGATTCCTCCATTAGCATGTCACATAGCACAGTAAAAATCTGTAATGCATCTTTGACTAAAAGCAAGCATAAGATAGATTTCTTCACATATCATCAGGAACATTTACGAGGGTTGAATAAAAAGTAATGCCTCCACCTTCGTAATTCAACAGATGGCAGTACTGATATGCAGCAGGTACTTGGCTTGTTCAGTAGACTCTCCTTTACAGTTCCATTTTGGCGGGAAGCCTTAGCATTGAACGGTTGTGTTGTTAAAGTGCGAAGCATGAAACCCTGCACAGACATTCGGTCAATGCGACTTAAGCAACATGCAGTCATTGAATTCTTGACAGCAGAAGTGTCACCCCAAAGGAGATTCATCAGAGAATGCAAGCTGGTTATGGAGATTGTGTTGATGTGAGTACTGTGCATCACTGGGCGAATAAGTTTAAAGATGTTGACACCTTCTGCTGACAAGAATTCAATGACTGCACGTTGCTTAAGTCGCATTGACTGACCATCTGTGCAGGGTTCCATACTTCGCAGGGTTCCACTGTTCGATGCTAAGGCTTCCCGCCAAAATGGAACTGTAGAGGAGAGTCTACTGAACAAGCCAGTACCTGTCGCATACCAGTACTGCCATCTCTTGAGGAGTTACGAAGGTGGAGGCATTACTTTTCATCCAACCCTCATATAAAACAATCAAAATTATTTTATGCAGCAAAGAAGTAATCATTATTTGTGCTACATTTTGGTCAAAGTTTTTGACACAGTTGCCTTTTCCAATAATTTTCAGAAAGTTATTGTCTCCGAGGAGAAACTGCACTGATTATTTGCATGCCTTATTTGGGTAGTTTTGTTTGCTTTTGACCACGTGCTCTCCCTGAACACATATGTCCAGGACAATGAGATTCTGCTAAGTTATTGACTTGGTTGGGTGGAACTATAGGCTACTAGAGCTGCTGGCTCAATCTGTTGAGATCAGCCTCTAAAGAAAGAAGAGATGGTAAGTTTGAGTTTGAGGGATCAGCTCTGATTGCTCGCTTGTCCTTTGGGTTTTCTTTGTTTTGGACTGTGAGCTTTTCCTGAGCACATAATCAAAGCTTCTGCTTGGTTGGAGGAAGAACTAGTAGCCATATACAGTTACAGTCTCAGCAAACAGAAAGTGAAAAACAAGCAACTTTGTAAGCACTTTCTGGAAACCTGATCAGCCATGTTGCAACATATATAGCATGACCTGGATGGTGACAGAGTTGTTGCCTCTGTGACATGTTTGCTTCCTTGACAAAAATGCTACAACACCTAGTTGCCCTGATGAAGGAGAAAGTACAGTGACTTGAGAGCCATGTATCTACACGTCATCTTATCAAGCTGGATGAAACTTTTTTGGAAGCCTCTCAATAGTCAATCATTGTAAGGCACAGAGACAAGAGCTTAATATTCCTGAAGTCATTGTGGTGACCTAAGACAGTTGTATGGAAGCAATAGGAGGTTAATTCCTATTGAGAAGAACAAAAGCAATATTATAAAATTGTCTCAAGTGGTATGCTGTTTCATGGGGTGAAGAAAGAGTGGCATCCTTGGGTTGGATGACTAATTTCTCTTGGGATTGTTGAGGAATGAAGAAGCCAAATATAGACAGATAGAAATTGTGGACTTCAAGGAGGCTGATTTCAGTAAACCTTTAAAAAATACTAAGTGAGATCTCGTGGTTAGAAATGCTCAAAGTGAAGAGTGTTTATAGTGCATGCGGGTTTCTTAAAGGTGAGATACTGAAGGCACAATTGCAAGCAACTCCAGAGAGAGAGAGAGAAAAGTGGGAAGTGTCTAAAGAAACCAGGGTGGATATGCAAAGAACTTTCAGATGATTGAGATTTAAAATACACATTTATAAGAAACCTAAGGGGGAAACTATGAAAGGAGACTGTGAGCAAATAGCAAATAATTCAAAGTGGAAAGCTGAAAAAACTAAAGGTCAGAATGTGCTTAGGCTTACAAGAGAGGTTAAAATCACAAAAAGAAGTTCTTTGGCTATGTCCAGAGCAAGAGGAAAACAAGGAATTATACAATCCCTGCACAGATATGGTCTTCTATGTCTCAGGTCAAAGTTTTCTCTCCAAAATTACACACTTCTCTAACTGCTTGAATTAGAATTAATCAGTAAGGAAGCTGCATCCTGAAATAGATGAATGAGTGTTGGATCCAAGAGAACTAAAGTAACTTGTAAATGTAATCTTGAATTCACTGTCAATAATCTTTGAAAATTCTTAGAGGACTGGAGAGGTCCTACCAAACTGAAGATTAGCCACATCTTCAAGAGATAGAGAGAAAAGAGAAGAACCTGCAAATATTGACCAGGCAATTTGACACTGATGCCAACAAGGGTTCTAAGATGGATAACCAAACAGTATTGTGAAAATATTTTATGGCTGGAATCACCGAGTTGCTGCGAGTTTTTCAGGCTGTATGACCATGTTCCAGTAGCATTCTCTCCAAATGTTTCACCTGCATCTGTGGCTGGCATCTTCAGAGGTTCTGTTGGAAGTGAGGCGAGTGGAGTGTATAGAACATGGCCATATAGCCCGAAAAACTCACAGCAACCCAAACAATTAGTCTTTGCATGCAGAAAAGGAATGCAGTGTTGAATAAGAATTGGCATGGGCTTCACAAAAAAGGCATGCCAAAGTACTCTTATCTCTTCTTTTTTTGGTTGAGCTATTCAATCGGTCCATCACTAGACTGCTGAAGATGTAATATATATTGATTTCAGTAAGACTGAAGATCCTGCATGTTATATTCTTGCAGACAATCTGTAATTACTGTATTTCATTTATTCTTAGGCACCATCAATTGTAAGGCACACATGAATTTCAAACAATTTTGGGGGGAAATTGTATGTAATAAGTTTTAGATTTTTCTCTGTATACACAATACCTTTTCTGTTTTGTTTTGATGTGCAATCTTTCCTGTAGGATGAGGAGGCAGTGGGAGAAACCTGGAAGTCATCCATCTACTTGAGTCTATTAAGTGTATGGGCCTGTTGAGGAGGCAGCCAAAGCAAGAAGCGTGCTTAGCAAAAATAAACAGCCGCCTGACTGAGGACAATATGGTGGGAGTGTAGAAAAGCCATTTGGGGTTGGGGTCCTTCCTCCTCTTCTCTGGGGGGATGGACAGACAGGATGGAGCAAGACAGTTTTGACAGGGGGGAAAAGCAAATGTATGGCATACCTTATTTCTGAAGCCCCTTAAATGGGAAAAAGTGTGCCCTTGATTTGACGAATACAGTAATGGATAGACTGACTTCAGAGAGTGCTCACCAATGGTTGCTATTCATTCTGAAAAGAAGTGCCACAGAGTTCTATCCTGGGCCAGGTGGGAGTAACCAATATGCCAGAGGAAAGGAACAGAATTCAAAATGACTTTGACAAGCTGGAATGCATCCAGAGAAGAGCATCCAAGATGATCGAAGGTCTGGAAACCAAGCATTAGGAGGAAAGATTGGAGGAGCTTGGTTTGTTTAGCTTGGAGAAGAGAAGGTGAGAGGGGATTTGAGAGCCATATTTAAATATTGGAAGTAAAAAGAGAGAGCAAGCTTTTTTTCTGATCCAGAGACTAGAACATGGACCAGTGGATTAAAACCAGTGGAACGCATCTCCTGTTATGAACCACCTAGGACTTCAAGATCGTTTGGGGAGGCCCTGCTCTCGATCCCACCCTCATCACAAGTACATTTGGTAGGGACGAGAGACAGGGCCTTCTCTGTGGTGGCCCTTCGGCTATGGAACGCCCTCCCTAAGGAGATTAGATTGGCTCCCTCACTCTTAATATTTCGGATACAAGTTAAGACATGGTTATATGAGCAAGCATTTACAAATGGAGAGTAACTAACATAGGAAATGGAATCACTCGATAATGGAACTCGGACAATGTTATTTAACTATGAGACGCTGGTGATAATGATGTTGGTTTTTATTGTTTTTATTGCTGCTATTGTGGTTTTATACTGTTTTAATGTTCAATTTGTATTTTGTTGTTATGCGTACTGACTTGTTGTAAACTGCCTTGAGTTGCCGATAAGGCTGAGAAAGGAGGTATACAAGTATAGTAAATAAATAAAATCGTAAATAAAATAAAGTTGCAGGAAACACTAGGAAAAACTTTACTATAAGATCTGTTTGCTGGTGGAATAGACTGACTTAAAGGGTGGTATATTATTATTATTATTATTATTATTATTATTATTATTGCTATTATTACATGCCTCTCCTTATGGTACAAGGCAGGAAACAATAGATGAACAACATTATCCTTATGTTACTTCATTATGCCTACTGTGCTTCATGTTTCAAGTTCTATTATGCTACTATTTTGTTTGTAATATCATCCTGCTGTGGAAATACCTTTTCTCACCAGTTACTTGCTAATGAGAAAGTGTTAAATCTCCCAATGAAATGTGCAATCAAGTTAAACATAATTTTCAAACGAGATGTGATGGCACCGGAATAAAATCTACTACTGTAAGCAGTGATGGGATGAGGAAAGAAATATGTAGCATGTCCAATAACAAGATTATTATTTTTACAATAAACATCTCACCTATTATTGATATAGGTTTCCTAGCAAAACGTATTCTTCCTTTAATGCCAACATATTTGCTTCTGCAACCTGCAGACCAGAGCCTCACCACATATTCAGCACCAAAAAACACCACCAAGACAATTTCCTGAAATTTTTTCAAAAACAGTAATTTAGACTTTTTTTATATGCAGAATATTTTAACATTGTTCTGAAATATATAACCATTTTGAGTACACTTTAGCATTTTCTTCAGCAGCATCGATAATGAGTTTTACCAATGAATCAGTTTGAGAAATCGGCCCAAGATTTCAATCCACAAAAAACCAAGACTTATACACTTAGGTGTTGCTCATTGCCATGCCCTCTTTGCCCACAGGTGGTCAGCTGATGGATAAGGTGGCACCTAGTAAGGGGACTCATAGTCTACCATGCCATTAAAAGCATTGTGGTTTTTTGTCATGTCAGGAGCGACTTGAGAAACTGCAAGTCGCTTTTGGTGTGAGAGAATTGGCTGTCTGCAAGAATGTTGCCCAGGGGATGCCCGGATGTTTTGATGTTTTAACATCCTTGTGGGAGGCTTCTCTCATGTCCCCTCATGGGGAGCTGGAGCTGATAGAGGGAGCTCATCCGCGCTCTCCCCGGATTCGAACCTGCGACCTGTCGGTCTTCAGTCCTGCCGGCACCCACTGCACCATCGGGGGCATTGTGGTGAAAACAATAAATTACTTTCTTTTTTTAAAAAAAAAGGCAAAGGAAACTCAGATTCTTTTAAAGATTCTTTATGACACAAAATTATTAAATATTAGGTGGAAAGTAAATATAGGGTGATTTTTATTTGAAAACTGGGAAAACAAAGTGTTGCCATTGTTTGCCTTCAAGTTGTTTCCAACTCAGTGTGAATTTTATGGGGCTGAGAGTGTGTGACTCTCCCAAAGTCTCCCATTAATTGAGTTAAGACAATGGCTTCTCTCCTTATACACTGATATCAACAAGAAGTTTGCTATAGTTTTATTATTAACTGAAAACTACATTTAGTCCATATGTGTCTCTTCTTACAACTGATTTGTCTTACATTTGCCTTTTACAATAATTAGTTTTTAGCTAATTACTGTTTGTAATGTATTTGTTGTTGGGTTCATTTTGTTTTTTGCCGTGTTTCAGTTTTGTCAAGGTACCTTTTGCCATATGGACAGATCAATTATGAAATGGGTGGATCAAGTCCATCATTTATTTTCGGAATTCATCTACTCACTCAAGAGCAATTGAACTACCTCAGGCCCCTTCCATGCTGCCCTATATCTCAGGATCTGATCCCAGATTGTCTGCTTTGCACTGGATTATATGAGTCTACACTACCAGATACTCTGGGATCAGATCCTGGGATATAGGGCAGTGTAGATCCAGTCTAAGTGTAGATCCATCCTAAGGCCAACTTAGTGTGGCCTATTTCTGAATAGACAAGCATTTATTTAGTCTTAGGTTATAATATATTATATCGTCTTAGGATATTTTATTTGCCTTAACTGAAAAGTATGGATCAAGGTAGAAGTTGGCAACAACTGAACTCTTGCTGTATTCCAAAATACAAGTTATTTTAATTTCTGAGAAAAGTTGGATGAGTATTTAAATTACACAGAAAATGGAAAAGAAGTTTCTGGACAGTGATGGAGGGACACAAGTTTGGTGTAAGTATGCTTGTTGTTGTTCATTCGTTCAGTCGTCTCCGACTCTTCGTGACCTCATGGACCAGCCCACGCCAGAGCTCCCTGTCGGCCGTTACCACCCCCAGCTCCTTCAAGGTCAGTCCAGTCACTTCAAGGATGCCATCCATCCATCTTGCCCTTGGTCGGCCCCTCTTCCTTTTGCCTTTCACTTTCCCCAGCATCATTGTCTTCTCTAGGCTTTCCTGTCTCCTCATGATGTGGCCAAAGTACTTCAACTTTGTCTCTAGTATCCTTCCCTCCAGTGAGCAGTCGGGCTTTATTTCCTGGAGGATGGACTGGTTGGATCTTCTCGCAGTCCAAGGCACTCTCAGAACTTTCCTCCAACACCATAGTTCAAAAGCATCGATCTTCCTTCGCTCAGCCTTCCCTAAGGTCCAGCTCTCACATCCGTAGGTTACAGGGAATACCATGGCTTTGACTATGCGGATCTTTGTTGCCAGTCTGATGTCTCTACTCTTTACTATTTTATCGAGACTGGACATTGCTCTCCTCCCAAGAAGTAAGCGTCTTCTGATTTCCTGGCTACAGTCTGCATCTGCAGTAATCTTTGCACCTAGAAATACAAAGTCTGTCACGGCCTCCACGGTTTCTCCCTCTATTTTCCAGTTGTCAATCATTCTTGTTGCCATAATCTTGGTTTTTGACGTTTAGCTGCAACCCGGCTTTTGCGCTTTCTTCTTTCACCTTGATTAGAAGGCTCCTCAGCTCCTCCTCGCTTTCGGCCATCAGAGTGGTGTCATCTGCATATCTGAGGTTGTTAATGTTTCTTCCAGCAATTTTCACACCAGCTTTGCATTCATCAAGCCCCGCACATCGCATGATGTGTTCTGCATACAAGTTAAAAAGGTTGGGTGAGAGTATGCAGCCTTGCCGTACGCCTTTCCCAATCTTGAACCAGTCTGTTGTTCCATGGTCAGTTCTGACTGTTGCTACTTGGTCCTTGTACAGATTCCTCAGGAGAGAGACAAGGTGATTTGGTATGCCCATACCACCAAGAACTTGCCACAATTTATTATGATCCACACAGTCAAAGGCTTTAGAATAGTCAATGAAGCAGAAAGTAGATGTTTTTCTGAAACTCCCTGCCTTTCTCCATTATCCAGCGAATATTGGCAATTTGGTCTCTCGTTCCTCTACCTTTTCTAAACCCAGCTTGAACATCTGGCAACTCTCGCTCCATGTATTGCTGGAGTCTTCCTTGCAGGATCTTGAGCATTACCTTACTGGCATGAGAAATAAGTGCCACTGTACGGAAGTTTGAGCAGTCTTTCGCATTTCCCTTTTTTGTGGGGATATAAGTTGATTTTTTCCAGTCTGATGGCCATTCTTGTGTTTTCCATATTTGCTGGCAAATGGCATGCATCACCTTGACAGCATCATCTTTTAAGATTTTAAACAGTTCAGCTGGCATCCCGTCGTCTCCTGCTGCCTTGTTGTTAGCAATGCTTTTTAAGGCCCGTTCAACCTCACTCCTCAGGATGTCTGGTTCTAATTCGCTCACCACACCGTCAAAACTCTCCTCGCTATTATTATCCTTCCTATACAGATCTTCTGTATAGTCTCGCCACCTTCTCTTGATCTCTTCAGCTTCTGTTAGGTCCCTGCCATCTTTGTTTCTTATCATACCAATTTTTGCCTGAAATTTACCTCCAATGTTTCTAATTTTCTGGAAGAGGTCTCTTGTCCTTCCTATTCTGTTGTCTTCTTCCACTTCCATGCATTGCTTATTTAAAAATAGTTCCTTATCTCTTCTGGCTAACCTCTGGAATTGCGCATTTAACTGGGCATATCTCCCCTTTTCTCTGTTTCCTTTTGCTTTCCTCCTTTCTTGGGCTACTTCCAGTGTCTCAGCAGACAACCATTTTGCCTTCTTGGTTTTCTTTTTCTTTGGGACGTACTTTGTTGCCGCCTCCTGAACAATGTCGCGGACTTCTGTCCATAGTTCTTCTGGGACTCTGTTTACTAAATCTAGTCCTTCAAATCTGTTCTTCGCTTCCACTGTATATTCGCTAGGAATGTTAGTGAGATCATATCTAACTGGTCTGTGTATTTTCCCTGATCTTAGTTTTATTCTAAATTGAGCAATAAGAAGTTCGTGATCTGAGCTACAGTCAGCCCCAGGTCTTGTTTTCACCGACTGGATGGATGTCCGCCACCTTTGGCTGCAAAGGATGTAGTCAATCTGATTTCGGTGTTGACCGGCTGGTGAGGTCCATGTGTAAAGCCGTCTTTTAGGTTGTTGGAAGAGAGTATTCGTTATACACAGCGAGTTTTCCTGGCAAAATTCTATCAGCCTGGGTCCCGCTTCATTTTGTTCTCCCAGACCATGCTTGCCTGTGATCCCAGTTGTCATTTGACTTCCCACCTTGGCATTCCAGTCTCCTGTAATGAAAATAATGTCTCTTTTTGGTGTATAATCCAGTAGGTCCTGCAGATCCTCATAGAACTGATCTACTTCTGCTTCTTCAGCAGCTGTGGTTGGGGCGTATATTTGGATCACTGTAATGTTGAAAGGCTTTCCTTGCACTCGAATTGAGATCATTCTGTCATTTTTTGGGTTGTATCCAAGCACCGCTTTAGCGAATTTCTTATTAATTATGAAGGCTACTCCATTTCTTCGATGTTCCTCTTGTCCGCAGTAGTAGATGTGGTGGTCATCTGATGTGAAGTGGCCCATTCCAGTCCATTTCAGTTCGCTGACCCCCAGAATGTCTATCTTTAGTCTTGACATCTCGCCAATAACAACATCCAATTTGCCCTGGCTCATAGATCTTACATTCCAGGTTCCTATGCTGTGTTGATCTTTAGAGCATCGGATTCGTCGTTCACCTCCAGTACCGTCGGCCGCTAGCCTTCCTTTCGGCTTTGAGCTAGCTGCGTCATCACATCTGGGGCTAGTTGAACTTATCCTCTGCTCCTCCCCAGTAGCATTTTGGCCATCTTCCGACCCTGGGAGTCCCATCTTCCAATGGCATACCGACATATCTCTGGTTGTACTGGTCCATTTAGTTTTCTTGGCAAGGATACTGGAGTGGTTTGCCATTGCCTTCCCCAGGGATCACGCTTGGTCTGACCTCTCTGCCACAACCGTCCCGTCTTGGGTGGCCCTTCACGGTTTCGCTCATGACATCATTGAGGTGCTCAAGCTCCAGCGCCCCGACAAGGCGGTGATCCTTTGCTGGAGGTAAGTATGCTACCATCCTAGAACTCCCACAGGCAAGATAGTGGCTTGGCTTGCTGCAGCCTGTAGGCAGCCTTTAGAAGCTGGGTGAATCCAAAAACAGTCTAAGGTCAAACTGGGAAACCAGCCCAATTGTAAGCATGATCTAGAGACAGGGTCAAGAGAACAGAAAGGCCATACATGGCTCAAGGGAGAAGGAATAAGTACCATTTTATGAACACCAGGGACCAGGAAGAGGAAAGGTTCACTAGTCAACTGGGTCACACAGAAGTACAACCTATGTTGTTTCAGCAGGAGAAAGGCCAGGACTGAAGGTATCAGTATCTTTGTCCTTCATTGCTGCACTCAAAACCAGCTGGTCCAAATCTCAAGTGTTTCTGCTGTTGAGAAGTCCTGTCCACCAGGGGATCCTGACACTTCTTGGTTATTCAATCCTGTGGGAATGACTGCATCAATATCCTGTCAGCTTGACTGAATATTTTCCTGCCTCCTCTAATTTTATGGACAAAACAACTAAATGGGTTAGTTGTCTCCTGCTGGAGTTTCCAGCCTAGCATCTCCAGGAGTGCGAGTGATATCTATGGAAATGATGGAGTCAAAGAGACTCATGGGAATTCAGGCTCAGGTTCCTACACTAAGGATCCCTAGATCTCCCTTACAAATAATTCTGCTCCTTTATCTCACCCTGTGTTTTAAAATCATTTTATGTACATGCGGCCCGTTCATTGTCATTATGTTTGGTTTACTGCTTTTTTAAACATGTTTTGTGTATATTGTTTATATGCTTATATGTTTTATACTGTAATGCTATGTTGTTTATTTTATTGTAATTTGTATCTTATTGTAATTTGTTGTTTGGGCTTGGCCTCATGTAAGCTGCCCCGAGTCCCCGTTGGGGGAGATGGTGGCGGGGTATAAATAAAGTTTATTATTATTATATTATTATAGATCAGGCATGATAGAAAAATTCTCAGAATGAGAGATGAACCTCCACCTGGGCCTGGGGCTGGCCCTGAAAATGCAAGGAAGACTTTAGGTTTGTTAAAATCACACTCCTAATAACTACAGGACCTTTTAAGACGTGGTGCTGAAATTGCAGCGGATCATGGAGATTCAGACAGTACACGTCCAGGGGTATAGGAACCCACTGCCTGATGCACCGCACCATCCCAGCTTCCCCACTATCTTATTACATGGGGGGAAGTGTCTGCCGACTGGCTTGCCTCATTGGGGGCAATGCAACCACGAGAAGCTTCCTATGTTGCTTGTGGCAGTATTTGCAATGGAGCCACCTCGGAAGTGCTGCTCTGGTGTGTGATGGGAGCTAGTAGGCTCTGTGGCAAAGCTGCTGCAGAAACAGAGTTGCTGCCCCATGTGCAGAGGTCCATATAAGTTGTTACTCCTCCTAGTCCACATGACTCTGCGTTGTGGTTGCCTCATGAACAGATTTGTTTGGAATCTCTGCTCCTTCTTTTAAGACAGGTGGGTAGTCTGGTCTCAATCAACAGGAGGCTTTGGCCTGGGGATGTGCTAGAAAGCATGCCCTAGTGCAGTGGTTCTAAAGCTGTGGGTCCCCAGATGTTTTGGCCTTCAACTCCCAGAAATCTTAACAGCTGGTAAACTGGCTAGGATTTCTAGGAGTTGTAGGCCAAAACATCTGGGGACCCACAGCTTTAGAACCACTGCCCTAGTGTCATGACTTTTTTATTGCTGCATCTGGGCTGACAGGTTTCTCTGGTGGTACTTCTTCCTCAGTATGTAACAATACATTAGACAATCCTCCATATAATGTGGAAGCTTTGTCTTAATTTCTATGTCTGCTGTTGGCAATTATGGAAATCAGGATAATCCAGAGTGAAGACAACCTTCAGATAAAATTGTATTAATAGGCTACAGGAAGAGCCTTCTCCTGGTCGAATATCTCAAAAATAAGACTTCCCTTAAGCAGCAAAGTCTGCAGTAGAGCTCCCCCCCCCCCCATAGCTATATGAAGTTGCCATATCCAGAGTGTCAGGATTCCCTACACTTCTCTAGTCCATTCTAGTTTTGTCCTTCTTCTTTGACATGCATGCAAGTGTCCATATATGGTACTTAGTTGAATGTGCCTAGCTGAGGATGGCAGCATGGTTGGCCTATGACTCCATCACCCAGGATCATATGCATCTAGCTAAGGCATGGGCAAACTTCGAACCTCCTGGTGTTTTGGATTTCAACTCCCACAATTCCTAACAGCCGGAAAGTTGTTAGGAATTGTGGGAATTGAAGTCCAAAACTCTTGGAGGGCCAAAGTTTGTGCATGCCTGAGCTAGATGATGCCTTACAATGCTATTGCTATTCTATGGAAACCTATGAGCCCTGGAAACTGAATTTTGGGATGGGTTCAGTTTATTTCTAAATTTGACAAATGGACATGTGAAAAATAATATTCCTTTAATTTTTGTATCCCTTCCAACCCTAACCCTACCTCTCCCCCATCTTACTATTTCTGCAATGTACAATTGCATTGGTGTCTTGAAAAATATGTAGAGGGAAAACATGTATTTAAAAAGAAACAAGATATTCCTAGGTTTTGGAGAGGAAAATGTTTACCTTTTCGTCTATTGATGTTTTAGGTTTGGTCACCCCCCCCCCCCCAGGGGTGCAGGACTCCCATGAAAGTGGACAAAACTATGTCCTAAGAATTTAACTGAATTCTGCACAGAAGTATAGAAAATACCTTGCAAGATTATTTATTTTTCATCTTTGATTGGTTCATTTTCTCCCACAGAAAGTTATTAACAGGTAAAAAAAAACTACTGACATTTCATCCAATACTTTGAACTGGATCACTCACCATCCAAAAAAGTGTCCCAGTGGCAAATTCTGCATAATGTTCTATAGTGGACAGAACACTAAAAATTAAGCAAACGAGCACCAACAGAAATCTGTAAGAATAAAATGCAGAGGGGAAAAAGAATATGTGCTCAGTGATGGGTAAAATATAGAGTTCCGTTCAAAATCTTTTTTACTCAGTTTTCCTATAATTTTAACAAAGATCCAATACTGAACTTTCAGAAGCATTAAAACTAATTCTTATTTCAATTTTAAATAACCAAGTATTAAAAATAAAAGCAAGTTCAGTGTATTTATTTTTATTTTATTTATTTGAAACATTTATATTTCGCCCTTCTCACCCCGAAGGGGACTCAGGGCAGAGCACAGCATATATATGGCATGCATTCCTTGCGTGTATCATTGTCATTTTAGAGCAGTATCTATCTAATTTGGTAGAAAGGCAATACAATGTTAGCAATGCAAACCCTACTTTACTAATCATACATTGCATAGAATGAATAGAAACAAATGTGACTGCTTTATCAACAAATGAGTGAGATTCTTTAAACTCTGGTTTCTCTCCAGATCGTATGAACAGAATCAAATCTGTTCAACTCAAAGTGGAGGTCTCATCCACCATCCAGTGACAAAAAATGAGACAGATTTTTTCCAAAACTCTACAAAAATGGTCTTTGCACATTATTTATTTTTGTTTGTGAGCAAGTTCAATATATTTCTCCAAGGGAACAAGAAATGTTTAGACAGTTTTTCAGGTGTGGTACTCAAACTTTAGAATGGTGATGCCTCCACCAATTTCTCTCTTTCAAATACACCAAAAGTTCAGAAGAAATCTGGACTGCTGCCACAACTCATTTTTTCTGAGTACCACTGGAATTGCTGAGTACCTGCTGCAGAAATTTCAACGGTGGATGGGAATGCGTTTACACAAGTAAAACTGCTCCGTCAGCTGCACCCATTTCTTGAGACATCAGATCTGGCTACAGTGGCACATGTTTTGATTAGATCCCATTTGGATTAGTGCAATGCATTCTACATTGGGCTGCCTTTGGAAACTACGAGGGGTATTTTTTAAGTAAGGTCTGTTTTGTTGTAGACACTAGTAGTTCGCGTGCATACCGCAACAAGCGCATGCCTCGGGAACAACTGTGCTCAGTTTCCACTCGTAGCTAGACCTTATTGTTGTTCTGGCACGATTATTAAGAAATGGTTTTGAACGAATATATCACAACCTGCCCACAACGACACGCATGTGGGGTTCGACTCAGCGGATAACGGTTTTGTTGTTACGCAAGGAAACCTGCCCTGCTGCAGAATTCCATCGACAAGATGTTGGTAGGAAGTGATGAATGGTGATACATGTATGAGTAACAGCCAAAGGTGCATAAGGTGGGTACGACCAATTCACCAAAGGATGGCTGTGGACAATGAAGTTTCCATGTAAATGCAAGGAAAGCACAGCTGCAGGGTGTCCAGGTAGCGGACCAACCCGACTAATGCCGCGCGTGGGGAGTTGATAGTCTTAAAAATTTTAACAGCAACCAGAAGAGACGGAAAACGAGACACACAAGTAGGGTCAAGAGACAAGAGGGAGGCATGCCGGTACACGACGCACGCGCTCGTTGCGGTATGCGCACGAATTACTAGTGTCTACAACAAAACGGACCTTACTTAAAAAATACCCCTCGTATTTGGAGACTTCAACTGTGCTGCAGCAGGTTGCTGACTGAGTGGGTTATAAAGAGCAAATAACTTTTTTTGTTAAAACAACGCCACTGGCTCATTTTCAGGGAGAATTAAAAGCAGTGGTGACAACCTTTTAGAGTCAAAGTATTTGTAATTGTATTGTATTTCCAAAACATTGTACACTGTGGTACAGGCTGGATATTAATTTGGGTTACCCTTTGAGCCATTTAAGCATTGAAAAAACAATATCTAAAACAGAAAGTTTAACCCCTTTTTTCTGGTTCAACATCTAGCCTTTTTGAATGCCTAGATAGATAGAGAAATGGCTGTGGTGGGGGTGGCTGACCCTCTCGGATGGCATTGCTGTTTCCTTCCCTGAGAAATGACTCTTTGAATTATCCATAGACCATACCAAGAATCAGTTCTGGCCTCAAAACTTGCCCTTGACTTATACATGAGTATATATGGTATATTCCAAATCATTCGAAAATCCACCACATTCAGACATTTCTGAACAGTTTTCAAACTATTTGCATATAATTCATTATAAGTACCTACACTGGACATTTCCAAATATACAATAGATTTGTGACAAGATCAGATTCTCTCAAGAAAAGGTCCCAATGAAAAATCAGTGAAAAGCATTTTGAGCCATGAAAGGGGAAGAGCAGAAAAGGAGGGGAATCCCATTCTTCACTTCATTGTACTACCAACAGAAGTAAAAGGGATCCATTGCACCAAGGTGGGTGATAGAAACCTCATGCAGTATTGGGAGCTATTTGTTGCGCACCAAGCAGATCTTAGCCATGTCCCATGCACAAGACTCACAGACATGAGTAGAAATTAACAGAAAAATCTTTACTCTTAATAGCAGAGATGAAACACAAACTTGCAATGTTGCATACAAAACAAACAATGCAAGAAACTTACATAGTCTTTGTAAGTAACACAAAATAAGGTATCTTCATCTTCAGTGAAATGAGAAAACAAAACATAAACCTTGAGTAAACAGCTATTCTATCATAGCCTCCTTTAGAGCAACATAACAGCTTCTCTCCAACCTGCTCCTCAGAGTAGAGCCTTTGAACATAGATCTCCTCAGAGAAAAAGCTCTCCAGAACTGTATTCTAAAAACCCATACAGTTATACCCTATCAAGTGTGGTCCAAGCTTGCTGGTTGACCTACATTACCAGCTGCACATAATAATTACCATCACAAGGTTTTTCTTCAACACACACACAAACACATGGTACTGCTACAACTAACTGTAACACTGTTGACAGGATTTATCCGTCTATATAGTTAGGGACAAGAGAATCATGAGGAGGAGGCAGATCGGCAGCAGGAAGGACATCAGGTGATAGTAACTGTCATTAAAGATGAGAGTCCAGCTGAATTGCCAGTTTGCTTGCCTTGTGCAATAAAGTCCTATAATTGCCTATGATTGTAATTACGAGCAGAAATAATGTGAACTGTTTGAACTTAAGATTTTGTGTAGATAAATATATTACACCAATAACTTCAAATGTGTTATAACCAGCACAAAGATGTGTCATAATTTAACCAACTCTGCAATTATAAATTAGGGACAACTAAAAAGATCAGTAGGCTTTAATCTGGGAATTGCAGCTGGTTTGAGGCGGAAAAGCAGTATTAAATCCTGGACCTCAACAAGCTCAGATCCACGATTTTCATGGCAGAATATCCAAACCTAGGAAGAATGAAGCAATATCCCTTTACATTGCAGATCCATTCTATTACAGTTGCTTTCAATAACAATAAACAGATTTTAAATTCCTTTTTTCCCTTAGCATTCATAAACAAGTTGAAAATGAATTTGTTGCAGAATTTATCAGCTTTCACATATATACATATGCAATATGCATTATAAATTGACATAATGTATAAATACACAGACATGTTTAAGATGAGATAGGGTTGGACAGAGATTGAGACAGGCAATCTTTCAAGACTGTCAACATTCACAATGAAAACCGGGCTTAAAAACATCATCGTTTCCTACGTCATTGCATCAGGAGAGTACATCCTGATATTTCTCATCCTTGGACAAGATATAGGGGATAATAACAAAAAGCCTTTTACTATACAAGCTGGGACTTTCTGTTTGCAATTAAAATACAATTGAGTTCAAAACCAGTCATACCAGTTGGTTAAAGAATCTATATAAAAAACAAACTGGATTACAGATTCATAGAAATATCTTACAAAGTTCTCGCAAGGTTAAGGGATGCGCAATGCTGGCTTTGGAAAATCCACAAGAATTTGTGGATGTGCTATTGACAATACTGGAAGCATGTTGCACTAGAGCCCTGAAACACCTTTGTTCAGGCAATCCAATAAGAAGAAGTTTATTTAATGAAGAGCATATATAAAAAATAAGCAATTCAAAAAAAGAGAACCAAAGTTCAAAAGGTTATTCCCAAAAGATCAGAGTCTCCAAAATCCTTTCAAATAAAGTCTCAAGTGTCAATCTACAAATATATCTATTTAAAAAATAGCATGAATCCAAGGCAGGCAATCTATGCCATGCATGAACTAGAAGCAAGAACAAATTTAGAAACATGAATACCTGAATTCCAAGAACACAAGACCAAAAACTGAGAACTGTTCACCTGAATACAACATTGCTCTCACAAAGGATTGTACCAGTTGGAACCATTTTAAAAGGCCTCTACCCCTCCCATAACATCATTTCTCACTCACCTGTTTTTCCTCTCCTTATCTCTAATTATCTGGAAAAGGTGAGTCTGTTTCTGTTGCATGCTGTTTCCGCAATTCCAAGCACCTTGACTTAAACAAATATTTATCTCCCTCATTTCTCTCATACTGCACTTCCGGCAGGTTCTCATGAGAACTGGTATTGCTTTCTCCAGTCTTGTGGGAAATGCCAGGAGAGTCCAAAACAACTTTCTATTGCCACTTCTATCCTCCTTTGGGCCCTCTGAATCTATACCAGCATCCCCTGGTATTTTTGTATGTGTTTTAGGGGTGATTGACACTCATTGGCTTGATAGGTGTATTGTGTCCAAATTTGGTGTCAATTCGTCCAGTGGTTTTTATGTTAATCCCACAAACAAACATTACATTTTATTTATATAGATATTCTCTCTCTCTCTCTCTCTTACTTTTCCCACTTTCTAATGGAAACCTCATGTTCTTCTTCTGCTTTTTCCACCTTTTCATGCAGACCTCTCTCTACTCTGTGTTTGATGAAATATAGCGTTTGGAAGTTTTTTCTCTTGTTTTGAACTTCGAAAAACAGAGTTAGAGAGAAGATGAAACCCAATTCTTTTCTATCAAGAAATGTCGTTCTTATGTTTTCTCAGTAAACCTTTTGAAATTTTAAAGATTGAAGTCTGCATCTTTGCCTCCTAAGCTCAAGAA